CCATAATAAGAAAAGGAAAATCCCTGCCTTTACACAGCTTCCCAGAGTCTTCCATTTGCCTCTTAGTTTCAAGTCACAGTTTCAAATATGCATCTAATGCCCTCATACGGGCGGGAGACTGCACCTTTGAGTTCTCCACCATCACTGGGAAACCAGCCTTGTGAGGAGAGCTTAGTCTCCAGAAGGGATGCGGATGGATAACAAGGCAGTTTTGTCTGATTGCCACACAGCGGTGATTCTTTCCTGGGATCAAAAGGAGCTAGTTTACTCATATTTGGCTAATTTGTGAGGAAATATAAGCCAACTTGGATTTTTTATATTGAGGGTAGGCTCTGTTTGCTAGTTTCTAGATTATGTCCCTAAATATCACTAAGCAGCGTTTACATTCAATTTAACAGCCATGGTTTGAGTTCTTGTGCTGAAGTAGGCCTCAGGAATAAAAAGATGATTTAGAAAGTGCCTGCCATCTAGAAATTTGTGAGAGAAAAATGTGCCTTTACCTACAACTGTACACCAGTCTTTTTTCATATACCTCCTACCCTTAGTGATGTCAAATCAACCTTACATCTTGGATCTCTGTCTTAACATCTTAGCTTAGTGTAACATGTGCACAGTCTTCCACTGACAGTTGCTCCTGTCATCTTTCTTTTAGGTTTGACGAAGTGCTTTATATATCATCTCAGGACCTTCAACCCAGGCACATTGTCAGCTACCTTCTAACTCTAAGGTATTTTTATAATCTTGCTATTTTCAGGTGTAACCAGACAGCTGAGGCCTGATCTGATAAAGGACCTTTCCTTCATCTGAAGTGTTCCTATAAATAAATCCTTTGGCCTAAAAATATTGTGTGCTTTAAGTTACAGGAATTCTTGCTTCATCCTTGCAAATTAGCAATCAATATTCATCTGTTCACTCAGTCAAGTGAACAGGAAACAGCAGCCTCATAGGAGGTTACAGAACAGTGTGTATGTGTTAGGATAGAGTGGATGTGAGAGCAAATGTCAGGGCACTCAGCCCAGCCTTGAGGGATCAGAGAGGGCTTTCCAGAGGAAAGGAGTAGACATTAACTAGGAGAAACAAGGTGGCAGAGGGAGAAGAGAAAGCCCAGAGCTTGCAAGAACATGATCATTAAAGGAACATGATCAGCATAGTCCCGGGCAAGATCCATTGAAGCATTTCTGCCATGTACTAGGCCAGTGGTCAGCAAACTGCGGCTCACGAGCCACATGTGGCTCTTTGGTCCCTTGCATTTTTAGCAAAGGCCAGCTTAGGAGTACCTTAATTAAGTTAATAACAATGTACCTACCTATATAGTTTAAGTTTAAAAAATTTGGCTCTCAAAAGAAATTTCAATCATCGTACTGTTGATATTTGGCTCTGTTGACTAATGAGTTTGCTGACCACTGTACTAGGCATTTCATCTTTTCAGGGCAGCGGGGTCCACAAAAAGGTTTTAAGCAGACGTATAGAAATATCAGTCAGCTAGAGGGCAAGAATGAATTGAGAAGCAAGCCAATGACACTTTGATAGGCATTTCATGGTAGCTATTTTAGAAACGTGACTATTTGATTCTGTCTTCTGAGTGATAACTATGTCTCCCCGTAAAAGCTACTTAAAAAATATTTGCTTTTACTCAAGTCCCAATAAAACCAAAGATTTATTGGAACTGTTCTCTTAATTATGCTTTTTATTTTGACTTCCCTAGATTTAAATAAATCTTTCCTTTAAAATCCTCTTAGGCAGATAGATACGAAAAAGCCAAAAAGTCTTACTAATTGCCACTTAATCAATGAAACAAATGTCATAAGCATCATTTCTCTGGCACACTGTTGTAATTGCTGCCTTACCTAAATAGAAAAAATGTTTTAAAGATGAGTGGCCAGTATATGTGCAGAGTGGACTGATAACTAGTCTCTACCTGACCTCTTCACCATACAGAGATGAAAAGGCCAGATCATCTTAAAGGAAGCCCAATGAGGAAAAACTCACTAGAAAGAAATCTCCTGTATTTGTAAAACTAATAATGAAATAATCTTTTTTTTTCCGAAGAGAGGGAGGGGGCGGAGATGGATTTGTTATACTTTTACATTCATCGGTTGTTTCCCACAATTTTGGCATCTAGGAGTGATGCTCTAACCAACTAAACTACCTAGTCAGGGCCTTCAACTTTTGAACTTTTGATACATCTTAATGGTTGTATTTTAGATACCAGGCTTATATGTTACAACAGGAAATTGCTACTGGTCCTGATCATGATTTCTCTTTTCAGTCACCTTGCAGCTGTGGCACACAGAACACTGCCCATAAAACAGAGTCCTCCTGAAGTGGCTGGGGTATGTTACCCAGTGTTTTGTGTATAATGTCTAGCATCCCCAGACTAATATTACTCAGTCAGTCTTGCAAATGTTTCTAAAATAGTATCCAGTTGTTCAACTACAGCAATGTACTTAAGGTAATAATTAGAATTGATTTGTATTATAACAATCAACATTTATGTACTTTGCAACATACTGAACTATGAAGTTGGTTCCCTTATCAGAATCTGTGCTGTATGATGTTACCAGTGTTACTGTTAGAGATTCTAGGAATTTGTATTCCCTTGCCTATAGCAAATCCCAGGGCACTTTTGAGATATTTTTGTACTTAGAAGAAAGCTAAATTTATTTTTTTAAATATATTTTTATTGATTTTTTTACACAGAGAAAGGGAGAGAGTGAGTTAAAAACATCGATGAAAGAGTCATCGATCAGCTGCCTCTTACCCCCTACTGGGGACATGCCCGCAACCTCGGTACATGCCCTACACCGGAATCGAAATCGAACCTGGGATCCTTCAGTCCTAGGCCAATGCTCTATCCACTGAGCCAAACCACTTTTGGCTAAATTTATTCTTAAAAACATTCTTATTCACTTTATACTTAGCCTATTATTGAACATTTAACCATTCTTTGATTTATTTTGTAGGCCAGACTTCATCTTTTCAGAGCTGTCCGTTCTGTCCTAGCCAATGGAATGAAACTTCTTGGAATAACACCTGTATGTAGGATGTAATTTCCAATGAAAATGGTTTTATAAATACTAATTCTAGTTATCTATTCTTATATGCCTTGCTGTTTATAATTTTATTATTCTGTGTTAGAATCTATATATTGTCTATAAGTGATTTATCAACTTATTAAATCTTTATACTTAAAAAGAAATCTCAGTCATTAAGTATTAAAAAGACTTTTTGTAAAATTCATTTAAATCTTTTCAATGCGTTGTGGTCTAATGGGAATAAAGGGTTAGAGTTTAAATTCTACTTTGAGGTTTCTCACATTGTCATTCCTCCAGAAACTCTTCTTTTTTTTTTTTTTTAATATATTTTATTGATTTTATACAGAGAGGAAGGGAGAGAGATAGTTAGAAACATCGATGAGAGAGAGTCATCGATCAGCTGCCTTTTGCACACCCCCTACTGGGGATATGCCCGCAACCAAGGTACATGCCCTTGACCGGAATCGAACCCGGGACCCTTCAGTCCCCAAGCCGACGCTCTATCCATTGAGCCAAACCGGTCCTGGCCAGAAACTATTCTTATAACCAACTAAGATTACCTAATGTTTCTATCAAATTTCTTAGAATGATGACTAGTCTAAAAAAATTTAAAGCAGTATTAGACCTTTTTGCCAATATAGCTGATAACTTCCAGAGAACAGATCTCGTGTTTATCTCTTTGTTGATATGTATACAGGTAACTTACTACGTGAACTCGGGAACTGGATACATTGAATAACAAGAAATTACTTTTACCGTTTACTTCACGTATCTGCATATTGGTAAAGTATGTCTTATGAGATTGTCTAGATTCACATGTGATCTGTTTGATGAGTATCGCTGCCCACATCTGGCAGCATTTCCATTTGGGACTACTATAATTTATTGTAGATGTTGCTACCAGAAGTCCTCTCTAGTGTCAGGATCAGTGACTATCTAATTTTATAAACCAGAGGGGGAAATTAGCATGAACCAAGCTTCTCTAGTTGAATGAATATAGTTTTATATTAGCAAGTATGATATGCCATCTTTAATCATAGTTAGTTTATAACTATTATTTGCAATCAAAGAACACTAATACAATTTCAACATAGAGAAGATTTTAAATGCAATGTATGGGGTTAAAAGCTTGTCTTTATATTACCTTAATGGTATATCTATAATACAAAAAGTGATCAAACAGATTTTATATACAGTTTATTGCTGAATTTCCCTATAAAAACATTTTTTTAAAAACAATTTCATAAATTATTGAGAGCCCCACAGCTAAACATATTTTATAAAAAAAGTACAAAAGTGACATTAGAAATATTTTTTGGAGAAAAGGACATCATCTAACAGCAAAGAAATAAGAATCCATACAATAAGTGGCACAAATACAGCACTTACAGGAGTATTCAGTCACCACTCAGAAGTCATAGTCTTGAGTTATGAAATACTCAGTTTGAGAAGTTCCATATTCAGTTTGTTTTTGACTAGTATGTCTTGTTTTTGTCTCTCTTGTAAGAAAAAAGTTAGGTCTTTAGTGCTCCTGGAACAAATTACTGGAACAGTAATTTGGGGAACAAGGAAGGGGCATCCTTCTCCCCTGGTACTTGAACAAGACAACAGTTAGTACAGAAATGGCTTTGGCACTTTGACGTTTAACATTGTCCCAAACCTTATTATTTGAATATTATAGCCTCACATGATTTTTTAACCATACTATCTCCATACTTTTATATATACATTATACATATGTATACACACACACAAGAAATTTAATTCTAAAACAAAGTGAGTTGACCCCAAACAGGTCACATTAAATCTTGGTAGCAATTAACTCAAGATAGTTTTCTTCTTAATTCTGATACCACACAGTTAATTTGTCATTCTTTGTTTAAGCTACCTTCTGGGGTTGACTTTAAGGCTCTAGTTTAATGCAAATGGTTTCAATCTTAGTAGGAATTTCATTTGAGGCTGAAATCACACACCACTGACTCTCCCTTTTGAAGCTGTTTCTCCTTGTTGGATGGATGTAGTGTCTTGTCTGGGTAATCCATAGAAATATATAGAAACACAAACGAGAAGAGTACCCAGAGCAAAGGTGAGTGCTGAAAAGGAAACAAAATAAGCTTTAGTTTGTATTTGTGTCTGTAAAAATATGTAACAATGATTGGTTTAGAATTTTGAAAACTTTCAATTAATAGGTTTATACCACTTATTTGCATTTATGACAAGAGTCAATTTTAAAATGGAATTAAATCTATTTCTGTGATTATAAGGTTTAGAAGGACAAAGGGAGTGACAGTCACTGAGCACAGTGTGTGTTCTTAATTTTTAAGAACACAGTGTGCCTATCCTGAACCACTGACAAAGAACTAACTTCCCTCTACACTGATTGAAAGAAAGAGCAGTGGAGTATGCTTTTCCATGGTGCTAGACACCTGTGCAAATTTAGAGCAAAGGTATTTGAGTAAAATTCAAAGAGTTAAGTAACCAATAATTATTTAATTAAATCCACTAAAGATTTCTAAATAGAAGTGGTGATAGTTACTAAGTAAAATTCCATTTTCTGCTAGACTTATCATCTTAATCCTAAAAATCAGGACACCACTGAATTACAACTTGTCTAAATTTGACTAGTAGTCACTTTATAAATAAATGCTATGTCAAAACTGTATATTCCATACTAAATGGAATATAATGGTACAATTTAACAGCTTACAAAATGACATGTAAAGAAACGCCATCAAGCTATGATTTTAGTTCAAAGACTAGCTTTACCTTTTAAAAAGGGGAATGGGAATCCTATATAATAAAAGCCTAATATACAGTGTCTGACCATTTGACCAGTCTGACCATTTGACCAGTCTCTATGATGCGCACTGACCACCAGGGGGCAGATACTCTGGTGGGTTAGTTTGCTGCTGGGGTCCGGCTGATCAGGACTGGGCGTGACATGCCTTGGAGCCCTCCCACAGTTCCTTCCTGGCCAGCCGGCCCGATCCTGCACTGGTGGGGTCCCTCAGCCTGGCCTGCACCCTCTTTCAATCTGAGACTCCTCGGGGGATGTCAGAGAGCCAGTTTCGGCCTGATTCCTGCAGGCCAAGCTGAGAGCCTCCACCAGTGCATGAATCCATGCACTGGGCCTTTAGAAAATTTAATAAGAAACTGGAAAATTACTAAGACAGTCTAATTTCCTTGACCATCATTAACATAGAACACAGACCAAAAGCCGTTTATATTGTTCCCATGTATTATTTAGGAACAAAGTCATAGGATTTGTTGAGCATAAGGATGGTTCAGAACTTCAAAGTTCACCCAAATCAGGTAAGGAAAATAAAGGAGGGCCTATGCCTGAAATGGTTGGCCTTATACAGAATACTTATTACTACATGACAGGCACTATTCTAAGCACTTTCTCTGAAACAACCCTAAGAGGTAGGTGTTTTACTATTCCTGTTTTATAGATGAAGAAACTGAGACACAGGTTAATAATTTTCTGAATTACAGTCAGTAAATGGCACAGACAAAATTTGAACCATCAATAATAATAAAAGCATAATATGCAAATTGACTGAACAGCAAAATGACCAGGCCATTGCTGGCAGAGCAACCAATCGAGAGGCTTCACAATCACCCCAAAGAGGGAGGCCCATGCTACCCTGTAGCAGCACTGCAGTGGGTGGGCAGGGCCTCCCTCTTTGGGGCAGTCTATCACAGGGCTGGACTGTGAGAGGGCAGAGGCTGGGCTGAGGGACCCCTGATACACCCCTCCCCATGTATGAATTTTGTGCACCATGCCTCTAGTACTATAAAATAGTTTTCTAAGATTTCTACAAGATTGGTATTCCTCTACTTATATTTATAAAAGGAGTCAATTTTTAAGTGAAATATAAGCATGTTTCTTTTCAGCATTGATATTTGACAAATTTTTCTCATGTTTTATTAAATAAAATGATTACAGCATAAAAGCACCCTTAAATGTTAAGTCAGCACCACTGCTTAAATAAGAAACAACTTAATGCTGGGTGTGGGCTAGGGACAAATGTATTAGAAGGACTAGCATAGTCCTGTATACTAAATTTTGTATCAATTACATATTAAATGAAACAAAGACATCTTTATAAAAGAAAAAAAACATTTAGATTTGAATTGTAATTTCAAAACCAGTTTGCACGTCCAAAACAAACTAAGGGGGAAATGAAAGAATCTATCTGTTCTTTACTCAAAAAGCCTTGTTTATTCTAATTCTACTGCTGAAAATAATAATTTCCTAAGTCCTTATATTTATTTCCTCGTGTATCTCATCATAGCATATTCTCTCTGAAGCACTTAAGCTGTCTTACCTAATATCTGGGGAATTGGGAGTTCTTGCCTGTAAAAGAGCTCTAACAGTAGCCCTCTCCCTTTCACACAGAATGAGCACCCCTCAGCTTAAGCTCTAGAACTATTTAAAAACAAACACCTAAGTCCTGCTGATCCATATTCCACACAACTATGAACTGCAGCACTTGTAGAATGAAACTAGAATTTTTGTAAAACACCATGACCATGCCACATTTAAAAGACAAATCAAGGAAATGAGAGGCTTTTCTGTGTTTAAAAACTTGAAAATACAAAGTAAGACATACTTATCTGTAATCCAAACAGCAGCACTGAAGCAATGGTGGAAAGAACAATGGCTGCTGCTGCAGAAAAGCCTTTCATGATGTTGTCTGTATACTTGACCACAACAGAAGTGTAGAGACCTCCAACACTTGCAAGAACTTGAACAAAGAAAGAAAGAAAATCTTAACATGCTAATAAATGAAGCATTCTATGATGGTAAGGGAATTTTCATCCTCAAAGATGCCATACTATTTTCCTTAGAAGCACCCACCTGAGAGAGTAATATTAAAATTCAGTAATCGTTCCTACAAAACTTTTTCAGATGCCCAAAGGGCTGTGTGGGCCCACTACTAAATTGTACACGGTTATTGCTAACACATTAGATACTTCTGATTGAGAAGGCAAATTGCTTTGGAACAGCTATGCCACAAAATTAAATCAATAAAACCAAAATGACATTTCAAACTAGTGTTCACAATATAAAAGAACAACTTTAAAATGCTATTAACGCTTCAAATAAACATCTGACATTTAAGGGTCTACCCAGAACCTTTGATTCCTGGATACTTACAGATGACAAACCAGACATAATATGTGTAACCAAAGAAAAATCCTTTTTCTTTAATTTCAGCTCCATCTGACAAGTAGACGCCAATTAATGTCACAACAATCCCTGATAGATACATTTGAATGTTTCTCACCCAAAGGGAAGTGTCTGAACTCTTTAAAACTTTTTCAAAGTACACTCCTGAAAGAAAATTAGATATGCAAATATGAAATAGAGATATTAGAAATTAACTTAAAAGAACACTAACCAGGAGAAATTAACTTAAAAGAACACTAACTAGGATAATATAAAGTATGCAATTTGGGGAACAAACATTTTACATTAAATGCACACTTATGTTTGTGTGACACATGTCATATTGAACATTACCAGAACTTTCTAACTCACATTTAACAGGACTCTTAAATCATTATTAAGAACAGTTTCTGCCATTATTATAGCAGTAAGTTACATCACAAAACTGTTAATGTCAATAAAAAGACTTCCTTTGGTCAGCTGGAAAACTATACTATTAGAGTCAGTTATCATAATCACATCCTTATAAAATCTGCCTAGTAATGAATATTCCCAGCTTTGCAAAGTAACTTGTATAATCACCAGTTGGGATTTTTTTCAGAGTAAGTAATACAACCAAAATAAAATTTTGATAGGACTTGATGAGTGGAGCCATTTACCTTTAAAGCAAGACTCCCCAAGCCACGTTCATACACACTGTCAGAAGGACCAATAATGCACTCTGCATTTTTCTGTGTTTGGGAGGGTCACAGCTTTTTTCAGATACTCTAAATGAGCGCATGATACCTCCCCATTCACTCTTAATCACTGCTGTACATTTTACTCTTAAAATGAACACGTTTAACAAAGATATTAAAGGTTTAAATTATAAATTCCATGTAAATTAGAGATTTAGAAATCATCACTGGAGTATTAATCCACCAAAACTTCTAATGAAAATAAGATTGATTTTGACAAACATATATTGGGAAGAGCCAGAAAATGGGGAAAAACAATTTCCACCTATGAATTTCCTATCTGGGAAAACCATTTAACTATTGAGTGCTCAGTTATTCCAATATAAGTAAACCACTCACCATTTCTTAATTGAACTAACTAGAATGTTGGACACAAACATTTAATAGTTCAAAATAATCAGTATTTCACTTCCATATCCAGTCCACTTTCCAAGTCAAACTCTTGAAATAACACAAATAGAGGTAAAGACATATAGCTATAACTAATATACTTTTTACTAGAGAGAACTATCTCTAAAACACATTTTATTTCTGTTACACATTCATATACTGTCTCGATTGAGTGCAGAATGGCTTATCTCTACACAATTCCAAATTTCTTTATTTGACGTTAATGATTTTGATTCTTGTTCCTCTGTTTTTGGCTGTTACTGTATGTATGAAGTTTTCTGGTACTCTCCATCCCACCCCTCTTTCTCCCTGTTGAAGCAGTGGAAGACTTGAAGTTACTAGGGAAAAACAAATACTGGGCTGGACTAAGAATGGTGAAGGACAAGTATATTTTTAGAGAACTACAAATGTGATAAAGACTAAGATCTGAACTGAGTTAAACGCTACCATGCATTTATTGAAAAAATAGCTGACATATAACTAAACTATAGGTAAGCTTTAAGGGAAATATAATTGTTATAATAAAACAAGATAAACTAGATTCCTAATTAAAATGTGATATTTTTTAAATTGGACAATAAAATGCTTTTATGATTTACCTGCAAATCCTGAGCACAATACAGCAATAGCTATAGCGCCAAACCCTAAAAATGGATTCTGTTCCACCTACAATAATAATGATTTAAGTTATTTTTAGTGAGTAATAAATAGAATTTATCCAACAGACCAAATAAATGGAACACAAAAATTTGTGTTACAGTTCTACTTAAAATATTTGCCATATTAGACACAGTTATTCTATAGTCCTAATTCTTGAAATAACACAAATAGAGTGAAGTCATATAACTATAACCAGTTATAGAATGGATACCCCCCAAAAAACAAAAACACACACAAAACTATGATCTTGATTTAACATGTCTCTAGTATTTAGAACAATGGTGTTAATTAGCAAGTTACATCTCACACTGCATAGTCAACATCTAGAGATAGTGTGAAGTTTTAGGACATAATGAGGAACAATAATAGATTAATACATCTAGAAAAGAAATATAGGGAAATATTGGGGCAGGAGGCAGGAATTGGGAAGTATCTAGAAAGAAAACATAAGGTTGTCTCAATGAGGAAAAAAGACTTGGGAGGAAGGATGTGATGTTGTCCTCAGACATTCAGAGGATATATGGGAGATAATAGGAATTTGAGTTATTCTGACAAGAACTAAGAACAATGAAGCAGTTACAGGAAGCTGTACCCTGTTTAAAATATAACTTTCTAGAGCAGCGATTTTCAACCTTCTTCATCTCAAGGCACACACAAACTAATTACTAAAATTCCAAATCACACCAAAAAAACCCTTAACTTTTGCAGATCTGACAAAATAATATTTTGATTCATTCACACCACAAAGCTATGGTTGTGCTGGCTGCTGTCTCTCCCCGCCCCCCCCCCCGCCCCCCAATCTAAGGTAAAAGAGGTCAGCACCCTGACTGAATAGTCAGGGATGGCATGTTTTAAAAATTCTTGTGGCGCTGGTTGAAAATTGCTGCTCTAGAGGGATCCAAAAGTAGGATGAGCTGCCCGGCTCTGCTTTAGTTTACTATACTTTTCATGTATAAGATGAACCTATGTGAGGTGGACCTAACATCTTTTCTAACGGTGTGAGGTGTTAAAGTTCACATTTAACTTTTAAATACATATTTGTCTTATTTCTCAACAAATTACTTCTCTGAAAGTCTACAACTGAGCTCAGTGAATGGTTAATCAGAGTTTTGGAATGTCACCAAGAATATGAGCATGTTTAAACATGTGGAGATAATAAATATTAATCTAAAACTCATTTTCAGGGGGATGGGGGGAAGGAATCTCCACCAGACTAGAAAGTAACTACCAAAAAGGGAACTGACTTCCTGTTTTCACAAGCTCTCCTTACATCCCAGCTTCCCTATATTCCTAAAAGAACTTTCATTTACTAAAAATTGAAGAGTCTCGCCCTGGCTGGTTTGGCTCAGTGGATAGAGCGTCTGCCTGAGGCTTGAAAGGTCCCAGGTTCAATTCCAGTCAAAGGCATGTACCTTTGGTTGCAGGCCCATCCCCAATGGGAGTTGTGCAGGAGGCAGCTGATCATGTTTCTCTCTCATCAATGTTTCCAACTCTCTATCCCTCTCCCTTCCTCTCTGTAAAAAATCAATAAAATGTATTTTAAAAAGCAAAAAAACTTGAAAGTCTTCAGTTGCAGAAACTAATGACTTCAGAAAGTCATTCACTAGAGTTCCACTCCCTACTGCTCTTTAAGAAAATAACTGATTAAAGCATATAACATTTTTTAAAATTCAGTTACTTATGAACCTTAACATTTAACTCTTAGCAAACTAAAAGTTGTAAGTAAAGTACATGTTTTGCCCTATTTTAGTTATCAAATCATCAGTAAAAACACTATTCTTTAATCTCTATGACTGACAGTGGGAGTATGCACAGAAGGATAAAAAAACTGCCACGGCTGGGTGGTTTAATTGGTTGAAGTGTGGTCCATAAACCAAAAAGATTTCGGATTCTATTCCCAGTCAGGGCACATAGGTTGGAGGGATCCCCAGGCCAGCGCACATGAGAGGCAATCTATTAATGTTTCCCCCAGCCCTACCTCTCTCTCTCAAATCAATATACATATCCTCGGGTAAGGATTAAAAAAGGGGGATAAAAAACTGTGAAGTTGGAAATACGGGGAGATGAAAACTAGATGGACAAAATCTTTTCTTTTTTCCTGGAAAAACTCAGTGTTTCTGAAGAAATGTCTGAACGAGGTTTAAAAGTTCTGAACATACATACTTTTGTAGAAGTCACAGTTTTAATCACAGGTTACTTCACCTATTTGGACTTCAATTTTGTCATCCATAACATTAAGTTTAAAGACCCTTCCATCTCAAACATTTATGCATATTCCCCTAAATTACATTAGTCATATACTTTTGGGATTTTAAAAGCCTATCTATAGAACAAATATTTTCAATCAAAGAAATATAACTGTGCTGCATTCATCAATGTGACTGAAGTAGATAAGACATAGGAAGTTTCCTATTTTAGTTATGGTAAGCATTTTGTTTCTTACCATGACTTTTGTAGCTTGGGCTGGTTTCCACTGTACAAGTATAACTCCACCACATAGCATAAAAACTGAAATCCACTGTACTTTGCTGAGTGCCCGGTTTAACATTAAAACAGTACATAAAGCAGTACAAGGAATCTTCAATTGGTAGGTCACCTAGAAACAAAATAATGAATTAATGAACTTAACATTAATGTCTGACACCACTATTTCTGATATCATTAATAGAATTAATGAGAAAAACACTTGACAATGTGATCAAGGGTCAATAAAAATAATTTCACCATAAAAACTTTTTTTAAGAGTCTGCTCTCCATTATTTATTCCACTTACCTGGTACACTGCTGCATCCAGGTTGCTAAGAGCGAGGAAAGCCATGTTGTTCTGAACTGCATACACTAATGATGGCACACTTAACTTCATCAGTTCTTTGGGGCTTCCCAAGACATTTTCTCTTAACGAAGTCTTGAATCTACCCAGACTACCAGTTTCTCTTAAAATAAAAGGGGGGAAAGGAGAAGTTGAGGAAGATTAAAGAGCATCCTTTTGATAAGAATTCTTCACACAGAATAGCTATAAGTCCATTGATATAATTTAGCAAATTTATTGTTTTTATAATTTTCAACTAATTTTAGATTTTTTAAAATGCCAACAACTGCATAAAAGAAAAGCAATTATAAGTTCTCTTTGGGGAATTATGAGAACACTCAGGTTTACCATTGTTGGCCTCTGATGAAAGTTCCAAATAATAAGACAGCAAGAAACCAGAAATGCTGATTATTACTTACTTAATTTAATCCTGACACTTTAACTGCCATTACATCAAGTTCACCCTGATTATTTCTTTAATTAATCAGGCTGCATTTCCATTTTTAAAGGTTTTTTTTTTAATTACAATAAATTTAAATTTTAAAATAAATTATTTGGGATAGGAATTGATGGATTCAGGTCAATATAATTTGCAACTTAACTCAGTACTCATGAAGTATAGTGGACAATAAATCTTTAGGCATATTCTCACAAAACTTGTACCTGTTTATAATTTTGCAGGAAATCTGTAACTTAATATTACCAACAAAAACTATAATGAACATAAAGTTTACTACTTGACTGCATATTGATTATCCATGCTTTTAACTATTCTTATTTTTCCTCAGGAGGGACAAGATAATCTGGATTATTTCTCCCATTGTAAATCATAATAAGCATTACACCAGAAAAAGTACTTTATCAAAAGGGCCTAACTGTAATTCACAATATGCTTAGGAGGACCATAATACTTTGACCTGTTTCAACTCGAAGTTTCACAGTTAACCTATTATTATCAACAATCATTAATTGATTTTTCTCCTACAAAAATAATCACCAGTGTTCTAAGGGGACCAAAAAAGTCCATAATGTTAGATTGAATACCTATAGTTCTCCAGTGTACAACACTCCGGCCCTCAACACAGTGCTAAGAAAGGAAATTTGGCCTAGGCCATGGAAACAAAAGATATCCTGAGTTACAGATCTTCCTCTGTTGCCAAATTCACCCTGCTCCAATGGTAAATCTATATGCTGAGAAGTAACACACATAGCTTGGTGGGAGATTGCAAACTATCTCAAAGAGGCAGAAAATACCAGAAAGATCACTCTGAGAATTTTACAGAGTAGGAGTTTCCAAGGATCTGAAGATGGGCCCTTTGGACATTTCACATTCTTTTTTTCAATTGCTTTCAATGCAAATCTAAGGTGTCCTCTATACTATCTCAACATCTTAAAACAGTATAAAGAATTTTCCAAAGAATGTTTCCCTCAATTATAAAATTAAAGAAAAAAGATAAAATAATCAAGAGGTCCAACCTCCTTAACACATGGCAGACAGATCACAAAAATTCTTGCTTCGTATTACAGTGTTTTTCAAAGTTTCATACTTTAAAAAGATATTAGCTTGTAAAATCATATAATAAATAACTTCAAAATGCAATGGGTATTTAATTTTAAAGTGTGCCTTTACATTTATGTAAAACATTCTTTTTGTACACATTCAACAGATACTTATCTAGCCACTGAGTAAAGCTAGCAATAAAACTACTGGTCTGCAATGCGTTAACAAGGTGATGTATTAGAAAATGTAATTGAACATTTTCCTTAATATTGTAATTCTCACTAGTAAGCAATTATATAATAGTAGAGATATAAATCTAACAAGTTTTGTGAAGTATAGGATACTGCTTTCACTGTACTTTCAGTAACTTTCTAAAATACTGACATATGTTGATATATGTTCAGAGTGCTTCCCCAAGGAGCTACTGAGAGGTACTCATCTAAACCCATTTCCCACATTCTCCCTCCTTCCGTGTCCATTGATCTCCCACCTAACATTCCCCAAATTTTAGTATAGTTACTATTTTTCCTTTCCCTAATCTCCTGCTATGAACAATATCATTACTTTCACCCATGAAAAATATGCTAAGTCTTCAAAAGCATCAAGTTAATTTTTGGCTGAGAGAATATAGTTGATCTTTTTAATCACTGGTACCCTTTTGTCTGTCGGAATATGGGCTTCTTAGGATCTTAACACCATTTCTAATAACCATTTCTGCACCAATAATCAAGGTTGCTGTAGCCCCTTTTCTCCCTGTCACTTTTCTCATCTCTTCTTCCATACTTTCCAGTTTTTACAAAAACACCAGCCAGTCTGAATATTCCTTTCCTTACATGTGAGAAACTAGTAGAGAACAGTGTGTTGGATTAACCTTCAGATCTTTTGCTCTTTTGACTATATCCTCTTTTTAAAAAATTTTTATTGATTATGGTATCACATAATTGTTTTCATCCCCCCATTCCCATCCTTTTGTTCAATGCTTAGGAGCTACTACTTATTCACTGACAGTAAGGTCTTAGCATCTTTTTCTGGTTCCTTTGCTAATGTGGATGTTTGAGAAGCCAAGCTATACTAAAATGCTAACTACTGAAATGCTCAAATCTCATTAGTACCTCAGAATTTCAGCAATATTATATAATTATAAATAAGGTATTTTTGAAAGAAAGTTACAAAAAAAGTCTGGATGCTAAAAGAACTTGTAAAAAGAAAACACAAGCTCGGGAATAATAGGAAAATAGGAGGTATAAAAAAGGAGAATGTGAGGGAATCAGTACACAGTTTTAAAAATGATAATGATTTCAGTATTAATCAGATTAAATCTTGCTTAATTTAACATATGTATTAACAGCTCTGAAAGCTTAGATTTATTCACTACAGTTTTAAAAAAGTAACAGCAATATATCTTTCAGAAAACACTAGTAATAATCCTTTTAAGTAGATAAACATAAATGATCAATTCTAAATACACTACAGCCTTGAATATACTATAAAAAGTAATAAAAAGCATATACTAGTTTTCATAAATGTATTTCCAATTTGAACAATGTTATTTTTATCACTAAAACAAAATCTATGAGCAGCCTTTTGTTACCTGAAGAAATTCTGAAGCTCCGTGTTGATTGCAGAGAGATTCCAAGGCCTCCTCCCCCCCTAAATTTCCTATCAAACGCTGAAATCAATTCTTTCTGACCTATGTTTGGTCAAAAGTAGGCCTCATTCTTCCAGCTCCTGATCTGATGAGAACTACTAGGAGGCATAAAATCCTTGGCTAGGTTACCAAGGCACTGTGCAAAATGGAACACAGCAGAAGTTACTCATGAGCTTAAGAAATTTAAATCTTGCTTACAAATTTCCTATCTTCAAGGTTAAGTATAACTAACTCACATAAAAGACTTAGGGGGCCAGGTATAAAAACCAATAATGAGGTCATTTGAGAACAAAAATACTTATATGAGGTACAAGACTTTTACTATCTTATGTCCCTAACACCCCATATAGCCTGGGTACAAAGAGGCAGTCAAAATGTAAACTCAGCAGGATAAATAGAATAGGGCTGGATAATCTACAACGTATTTGATAGCTACATTAATTATTCTAGGTAATACTTGAAATATAAAAATTTTCTCCAGCCTTATATTGATAGTAGCTCAAAGTTTTAAGATACATGTGCTTTACTAATACATCCTACTAGATTTATTTAGTCTTTATGAAGTGTGAATAGCAAACAATAAAAAGTTGACTTTGTTATGTCAATGTGAAAATGTTTTCGTTTTCCTTCTTTTCATAGCACAAAAGACTAAATCAAAACTAAAATCAGTTTTAATAGCTATGACAGGTTTAATAAAGCATACAAGTAACCAGTAATTTTCCTGTGAATTGTAATAGTAATTAGTTTTATGAAGAACCAAAATATTTTAAATGTTATACTATTTTATGTCTGAATGAGATTACAACTTAGAAATTGGTAACTTGTAATTCAAAGATTTTAAAAATTAACTATTCACATAGGAGCTTTTACAACACCAAACTATTAATTTGACCCCTCACCAAAACAGGATTTAAATCTAGTTCCCCTCTCAATTTAAAAGTGATTTGATGTAATCATACATGTGCATGACAGTGTATGTAAAAAGATAATTATTTCATTTTTGTAGTAGCAAAAGACTGGAAATGACCATTAATAGAGAATCCTATATCTGAAACATCCATATAATGGAAAACCATGCAGCTCTCAAAAAGAATGAGACAGATTTCTATGTACTGACATGAAACAATAATCTCTAAGGTAAATAAAATGAAGCATAGTGTATATTAAGTATATATAGACACACATGCATATAACTAAAACTCACCAATTAGACCACATATACCTTAAATCTTATTTATCAAAGTAACTGTCTACTCATTCTTCCCCATACTTGCTTATTTTCTTGCAATTCTAACTTCTTATTGAAATAAGCATATTTTCCATTTCAAAAATTACTGCTTGAGTTTATAAGTAAAATCAAGCATGGGAAAACCCAAAACTATTTACTAACAGAAACTAAAAAAAATTGGTCAGTTTTTTTAATTACAAAATTACACTGAAGCAGAAAAAGAATAATAACCCAAGTATTCCAAATAGTGCTTTTATTATGTACTCTAAAACTAAAGGCAAAAAGAACTATATACAAAAACTGAACTTAGTAGGTTTGTTTTTCAAATTGTATGTTAGAAATTCTAAATCTACTTACGTATTCTAGAATTGAGCAAATAAATATCTTGAGAATAATGGGAGCTAGACTCATCATCACTGAAGGGAACAAATATGAAAAAGGGGAAGGTTAAAATCAACTCTGTAGTGTTGGATCAGAATTATAGGCATCAAACAATATGTAACTCACACCGTTACACAGACATATATATGCATACACAATACATATATATATGCACATACATGTATTTCCTAGCTCTGTCTGCTGAAAGGACCCAGTAGCAAGAAGCATACCCAGTATCTAGATTCTTATTTTTAAATGCCATTCTGGAAGGAAGAAAAAAAAAAGAACAAAGCTTCAAGGCTTCTTGGAGAAATGTCTGATTTCAGAGTTAGAGCAGGGAAAATCCAAGATAAGTCTTGACCATCTTAGCATGAAAAAAAGATGGAGAAACTGTTCTGGATTAAAGGAAGCTACACCAATTTATTATTTTCTTAAGTATCTGATCCTCCACTAGCTTATAAGTTCCATGAGGACAGAACTATGCCTTCTTAATTTTCAGCTATACTTCTTACATCTGGAACAGTGTTGAGCACATAACTAGGGCTTAATAAATAAATGAAACTAATTATTCCATTACATCTTTTTAATAATATATTGAAACAGACATAGCATGACTAGATGCTAAAAATGTTTGGAGGGAGTGAAACACCCTATTATTTGGCTATGGCAGTGATATGTTTCTCTGTAAATGAACCTTAATTATAAGCAAGACACTATGAAATTCAAGAAATTTATTGAGTCTCTGCCATCTCCACAGAGTATAAAATGATGTGCACTTACTTTAACAATTAGACTAAAATATTACTGAGTAAAGGGCATTATTAGAGAGACCATATTAAATAAGCAACCAAACAGGCTGGTCTATAATGAGGCTAAGCTTTGCATAGTTCAGATAAAGTTCTGCAACGATATTCAAATCAACTCAATAAAGTTATACCTTACCATGGGTTAAAGTGGGAAGAAGGAAAAAATAATTCACTTCCTTCAATAGTTTTTTTCCATTTAAACAGTAGTTCCAGTTTATTTCCCTTTTTCTTTCATTCTCTAAAAATTTGAAATAAAAATTCAATAATTTATCTAATTTTTACATTATTTTCCTGGGAACATGGGGGAAATTTATTATTTTTTTTTCTTTTGGAAATTTATTATTTTAATCATCAAAACAATTTTTTTCCGTTATTTTCTTCTCTGAAGAGGTTTTTCAAGTTCTAAACCTTTTGTTATTTCTCATATAATTCGTTCACATTCTCGAATACCCTGAATGGTTATCCTTTCTCAAAGATGATAAAAGTATTGCTCCTACTATGAAAACAAAGATTTAAAAAAAAAAAAGTCTAGTCTCACAGAAAGAATTAGCTTTATAGAAAGAGCTAGAGGTCCGTTGCACGAGACTAACTGCTGAGTTACAACAAAAGCCTCATTGCTTTTTTGCACATTGGTTTTTTAACATTCTTAAGGGTCACAAAACAACTGAACCATGATTTGATCTTACAGTTAAAAATGGCTCATTTCACCCTGACCGGTTTGGCTCAGTGGATAGAGCATCGGCCTGCAGACTGAAAGGTCCCAGGTTCAATTCCAGTCAAGGGCATGTACCTTGGTTGCAGGCACATCCCCAGTAGGAGGTGTGCAGGAGGCAGCTGATCGATGTTTCTCGTCGATGTTTCTAACACTCTATCCCTCTCCTTCCTCTCTGTAAAAAAAATAATATATTTTAAAAATAAATAAATAAAATGGCTCATTTCATGCTTAACAGTCCTATTTCAATCTTGAGTCCCTAAGGAAATTAGGAAATAAAGAAATATGTTCCCCTATCCCTCTTCTTCCAACAACCCTATATTTGTCTTAAAAAAAAAAAGTTAAACCTTAAGATTTTATTTATGTGTTCATACTTACATTGTTATACGGAAAATGTCCTAAAGTTTTAAACATAGAGATTTTTGCCTTTAGAACACTTACTTTAAAATATATTTTTTAAATTAATTTTCAGAGAGGAAAGGGGAGAGAGAAGCATCAATGATGAAAGAGAATGAATGATAGGCTGTCTCCTGCATGCCCCCTACTGTGGATCAAGCCAGCGACCCAGGCATATAACCTTAACCAGAAGTGAACCTGGGGCCCTCCAGTCTCCAGGCCAACATTCTATCCACTGAGCCAAACCCACGATGGCTGAAACAATTTAAAAAAGTGATTTTCAGAGAGGAAGGGAGAAGGAGAGAGAGAGAAACATTGATGATGAGAGAGAATCACTGATCAGCTGCCTCCTGCACACCCCCACGGGGGATTGAGCCCACAACCCAGGCCATGTGCCCTTGACCGGAATCAAACCCAAGACTCATCAGTCCAAGGCCAATAGTCTATCCACTAAGCTAAACTGGCTAGGGCTGAAACACTTACTTTTAAAGATACAATAAGGCCTCTCATTTAGCTGACATTATCCAAAATGAAGTATCTTTTAATAAAAGCCAAATATCAATAAAAATAAATCTATTTAAGTAAAGTGGAAGGTCTGAGATTTTACCTTACTTGCAACCTAACAAGTTAGGCTGCCTATAAGATATATTTTAAACTCAAATATATTAAAACTTTCCACCTTCTAGCCTGAGTTATTTTTCCTGTTTGATCCCTCCCCAAGCAATGTTTACAGTGTTTCCCCCCCACATGATTATTTGTAATCATATGTTTCCTGATTTTCCCTCTTCTACTAAACCTAAGTTCCAAGCAAGCAGGAACCATATCTATTTCATTCACACCTGTACATTCAGCACCTGTTATAAAATTGTCACATAGAAATCGCTTAATAATCATTTGTTAAATGAAATTTAAGTGTCATTTTTTCTACCTTAACTCTGACACATGCTATTCTGCATTGGTTCCCCACTCATATCACAAAACCTGTAGGAAATCTCTCCTGCTCACATGACCCAGATGGGCTCACATATCATAAATCTTTCCCTAAGTAATTTCCTACAAAATGTTATTTCATTCTCACAGCCCTGTATTTTGTTCTCCCATTAAATAAGGAAGAAACTAACCGAAACTGGTTTGGCTCAGTGTATAGAGCATCGGCCTGTGGACTGAAAGGTCCCAGGTTCGATTCCAGTCTGGGGCAAGGTACCTTGGTTGCGGGCACATCAGCGGTGGGGGGTGTGCAGGAGGCGGCTGATCGGTGTTTCTTGTGGATATTTCTAACTCTCTATCCCTCTCCCTTCCTCTCTGTAAAAACTCAATAAAATATATATTTTTTAAAAAAATAAGGAAGAGCCGAAACCAGTTTGGCTCAATGGATAGAGCGTCGGCTTGGGGACTGAAGGGTCCCGGGTTCGATTCCAGTCAAGGGCATGTACTTTGGTTGCGGGCATATCCCCAGTAGGGGGTGTGCAAGAGGCAGCTGATCGATGACTCTCTCTCATCGATGTTTCTAACTCTCTATCTCTCTCTCTTCCTCTCTATACAAAATCAATAAAATATATTTTAAAATAAAAATAAAAAATACAATAAAATAAAAATAAGGAAGAAACTAAAGCTTAGAGAGGTATGAAATGCATGTAAAATCATAATCCCAACGATGCTAGGCTGAAAATTAGGTGTCTCACTCCCAAGTCCCTATTCTTAACCTTCTTTTACACTGTATCCTTAGCTAAAATGATTCTCATGTAATGTTATTTGATTCAAAGCCCAGTGCTGCCACATATTAACAGGGTAATACTGAGGACCTCAGATGCTGTACAAGTAAAATGGGGATAGCTGTAGCATTCATCTGCAAATATAAAGGCTGCATGACACAATGAAAAGCACAACGCAAGTGCCTAGCACTTAACACAGAAAACACTCAAGAGATGTTAACTGCAGTCATCAGCATAACCCTCTAAAACAGGTCAGCAAACTTTCTGGTAAAGGCCAAATAGCAGATAGTAGGTTTTGTGAATCATACCGTCTCTGCTGCAACAAACAGGCAACAAGCTGAATTCGACTCAAGGTTCTCCAACTCCTTGGCACTACTCCTACGTAAGGCTGGTAAGTCTGTGTTTGGGGTGTGCGGCTGTCCTGTGCATCACAGGGTGCTTAGAAGCGTCCTTTGTGTACCCTCCACATGCCAGTAGCATCGCCCAACTGGGGACAATCAAAAATATTTCCTGGGGAGCAAAATCGCCCCAGGTTGAGCAATACTGCTCTACAGCAATCAAACATATAAAAATGTAGTGTGATTTTTTTTTATAATAATGAAAATACCTTAAGTGATAAAATAACTTAATTCATTAAAAAGTAATTATACTCACTTAGCTAAAATCCCCACACTTAGCAATAACTTTATAACTTCTGTGATACACACAGCTGTGGTTGAAAAGTAGAGTTCTTTGTCCGATGTCCTTGTGTATCGTAAAGCTATGGTATAGGTTGCAGCCACCAGGGTCATCACTGTCAAGCAGTATAACTTGAATAATAAACTGACATTTTCTGGAAAACATGTGCAACAAAGACATTATTTAGTAAACAATATTAATGCATATAAAAGTTAACATTGTACTTCAAAATGCCTTCCAACTTCAAACACAAAATAACTTTTTAAACCCACATTTAAAAATTTACTTTAAAGCAATACTTTCCAATTACATGAACATAAATACATACATCCATACATACATACACAAAACACAGCTGAGTTTGAATACTAACTGGTTCAGCACTGATTTTGTTCCTGGGAATGCCTCAATTGCAAGACTGAATCTAGATATCATAAATTACCTACCTATAATAATCTATAATAAAAATATAATATGCTAATTAGACTGGACGCAGCCACGGCTGCGGCAGTGGGGACCAAGCCCCTTGCATGAATTTCATGCATCAGGCCTCTAGTTTCATATGTCTTTATAACTCAAACTTATGAAAACAATCATAGCAATTTATATCCTAAATTTAAAGACAGCAGAGAGAGAAAAAGGACTGAGTGATAAAAGTGGAGCTTAATATAAAACTTTATCATAGGATAAAAAAAAATCATGTTGCCTCTTATTTTATAGCATTATGCACAGAAAAATACTTCATAACTCCAGAGAAGAGTACTAAGAATGAAGCCCTATAAAACTGGGAATGCCAGATCTGTACAACGTATAAACACTCAATTTTAAGAACTGCTTACAGGTATATGTGCGCAGGAGCCATCACTCGGGCACCAGGGAGGGTCCAACAACCTCAGTAAAGCCCAGGCCCTGGGTACCAGGTCTCCCTCATACTCCCTCCCTTACTCCCAGCCCTGCCCCGACACTGCCATCACCCAAAGCTCAAACTATTTCTACTTTCTTTACAAACCTCCCACCTCTCATCCTTAACCTTTCAAAGCTTCAGGCTCAGGATACACAAGGGTCAGCAAAAATTATTTTGTAAGGCGCAAATAGTAAATATTTTAGGCTTTCTCAGCCTACAAGGCAAAATCAAGAATAGCATGTAATATAAAAGAGAACAAATTTTTTGACAAATTCAAAATATGATAATTGAGTACAATGCTTTATAATATATGTCTGCTATTGAGAACAGAATTATTTCGAGAGGTAACATTTTGCTTCACTGGTCTTCAGAATTACTGCTCCGTTAAATCAACGGCAACTGTTCCCTCTGTAAAAACCATGGGCCGTACAAAACCAAGTGACAGGCTGGCTCTGGCCAGCAGGCCTTACTCGGGCAGCCGGATGAAGACTCAGTCACCCCTTTGGACAGGGCCCACCCTGGCTGCTCTATAGCCACAATATGCACTAAGTGTGCTTTCGTTCACTGCTTTGGGAGCCTGACCACAATTCTAAGATGGCTTTCGCAGGGAACTAAAACAGGAGTGACATATGTGCGGCAGAAACTTTCAAGGTTAGAGGTTCTTCGGTATAAATATTGCCTTGGGGAAATTAAAGAATTATTTATAATTTATAGACAATTTTTTAAATTTTATTAGTTAGTAACTAAAATGTAATGTAGTAGAACAAAGGAAAAAGAGCTTATATCTGCCTAAACTTTCTTTCCAAAAGATCTGAGCCAAAAAGCAATGTTTATGTGAAAGGAAGTGAAGACCACTACAATACTTCCTTTGTTTTAAAACTTTCCTATACAAGGGAAAATATATAACTTCAAAAATAAAGAGCAATAACCTTTAGTCACTCAATAAAGGAGAAATCGCTTCCCATCTTCCAGAGGAGGGGTGAGCAAACTGCATCTCATCTCTCATTGTTATACAGCTTGCAAGTTCAGAATAGCTTTATATTTTTCAATATTAGGGGGAAAATTTTTAAATAATCTTTTGTGACACAAAAAGTATATAAAATTCAAATTCAGAATCCATAAATAAAGCACTATTGGAACACAGCTGTGCTCATTTGTTCCCACTTTTTTTTTTTTTTTTTAATTTCAGAGAGGAGAGGGGGAGAGATAGTAACATGAATGATGAGAGAGAATCATTGATCGGCTCCCTCCTGTACACCTCCTCCTGGGAATCAAGCCTGGAACCAGAGCATGTGCCCTTGACCAGAGTAGAACCCCGGACCCTTTAGTCCAAAGGCTGACGCTCTATCCACTGAGCCAAACTGGCTAGAGCTGTTCCCACATTTTTGCCCTGGAATGGCAGAGATGACTAGTAATGACATCCAGTCCTTTACAGAAAAAAAATTGCCAACCCATGTCCTAGAATAGATTACCAACACTTTCATAAGTAACAGAGGTTGGGACTACCAAGCTGAAAACTATCCCAAAAGCAACGGTGAATGCTTGAACACTAAACCAAATACTTATAGCCTTCAAGTATGAGAACTATAGTTATCATTGCCATCAACTATGAAAGTATACCTATTTGCATATTTATATAGGAATATATATGATATTCTTGAAAATAATGCTCTAAATGGAAGAGCAAACAAGTAAATTCAGACATTTATAAAACATACAGGTCTTGGTATGGAATACTTAAAAACATAAACTTTAAATAATTACTTAATGGTTTTAAGTATTATTTTCTCTCATTTCAGTTTAACATTGGATCGAAATAGTTCTTCACTCCATTCAAAAATTCTCCAGTTTGGAATTTCAATTATTAGCAATTTAAAATTTTTCAAGGTAAAAATCAAAAGTTCATGTCATGTATTTGCTGTAAATCCTGCTAAGTACTCACATGGTGCCCGAGGCCTGTAACCACTGAATTGGCACACTGGCACATTAGCACAGCTGCATGGGTTTCCATTTCTCACCAAGTTCCCATTCACTCCCTCATTATTTGTTTCTGTGTAGACTAATGTTCCCCAAGAGAAATTTTGTTGTTGTTTTTGTTTTGTTATATTTTACTATATTTTAGAGTGGGGATTATTTTTTTAAATATATTTTATTGATTTTTTTACAGAGAGGAAGAGAGAGGGATAGAGAGTTAGAAACATCCATGAGAGAGAAACATCAAGCAGCTGTCTCTTGCACACCCCCTACTGGGGATGTGCCCGCAACCAAGGTACATGGCCTTGACCGGAATCGAACCCAGGATCTTTTAGTCCGCAAGCCGACGCTCTATCCACTGAGCCAAACCGGATCCGGAAAAGAGTGGGGATTATTTTTAATGCCTGAGAACTTGGAAGATCAGGAAGTTCCAGATAAATCTTTGAGAATATCCGGAAGCTATAGCAGCTGCTTTTCTGAGGATTATATGTTCCTACCGTGTTTCCCCGAAAATAAGACATAGCTCATCTTTGGGAGCAAAAATTAATATAAGACACTGTCTTATTTTCGGGGAAACGGGGTAGATTGCAGAAGAGATCTATAACAGGACCAAGCCACAAAAATATGTACTGGCAATAGCCTCACCAATAAAATGTTACAACTATATCAGACAATGACTTGGATTCCTTTAAGTTTCACTCATTACTCTTGCTGTTCCCATCTTGTTAAGTATCAAAACAATTCTGTCTTTCTCCCTTTATTTCCTGTGATTTGTTTGTTTTTAAGGCTATTAAGGTTGGACTTCACTTTTTTTTAAATATATTTTATTGATTTTTTACAGAGAGGAAGGAAGAGAGAGAGAGCTGGAAACGTTGATGAGAAACATCGACCACCTGCCTCTTGCACACCCTCTACTAGGGATGTGCCCACAACCAAGGTACATGCCCTTGACCGGAATGAACCTGGGACCTTTCAGTCCGCAGACCGACGCTCTACCACTGAGCCAAACCGGTTTCGGCTGGACTTAACTTTTAATGGGAACATGCATGACAGGCAGTCACCCTGGGCAGGGCTTACATGGTTAAGTGCGGACTCCCCAACCAGGAAACTAACTTGGCACCCATGCAACACATAAGTCTTTAAGTATTTGTTCAACGCTTGCTCAGGGGTGAAGCCAAGTGCTCTATGGGGAAGGGTGGAGAAAGAATCCAGGGTCACCCAACCCCTCCTGGCCACTGCCCGACCGCCCAGAAATTCAGCTCCGGTCCCAACTGACCCTGCTCAGCAAACAGGCAAAAGCTGCGGCTTCATCAGCCTCGGCCTCACCCTCGGCAAAGGGCAATCAGTCCTCAAACAGCGCCCAGCCGAGCCTTTGCTGCGGAGGAGGGGGTGGATCTCCGCACCGCCCACCCGAACACCGTGTCCCTCTGCACACTCAGCGCGGAGCTGCGGGCCCGGCTCCCCGCTCCGGCGGCGTCAGCGCCCACGGCCCCGCGACCTTCCCAGCGGCGGCCACGGACCGGCCGCCTCCAGCGCCGCGGGCGGAGCGCACCTGGGACTGCGGCGTGCGGGCCGGGCCGGGCCGCTCCCGCCGGGGACGCGGGCCCCGCAGAGACGGTGCCCGGCTCCCCGGCCCCGCAGCCCCGGCGGGTCTGACTTCCCACCCTCCCACCTCCAGCGCGCTGGGGCCGGCGCGTCTGCAGCCCCCGAGCGGCCGCGCCGGAGGCAGCCGCAGCGGGAGGCTGGCTGCCGGGGCCGGCGGCGGCGCGGCTCCCGGGGCCGCTCCACACGCGCGGCTGATGCCCGGCGCCCAGGGCCACCCCCCTAGGCCGCCCCCTTCTCCGCCCCCATCCCCGCGGCCCCGGGCTCACCTCTGGCCGCTGCCATCTTCCCCCCACGGCCCCGCGCGGAACTGACGCGCGCTGCTCCGCGCAGGACCGCCTCCCGTCGTCATAGAGACGGGGCGCTCGGCCTAGAGGGCCCTGCGGCGGCCGCCGGCTTCCGGGGCGTCCGGGGACGAGACGAGGCGCGGAAACCCGTGCTCCTCCGGACAGTGAGACGCTGCGGGTGGAGGAGAGGCCGTCCCTGCAGACAAAGGCGTAAAACGCGATGGGAAGGCGTCTTCTGTAAACTACAACTCCCAAGGGAGTGGAGCCGCGGGAGTAGAGCGTTGCCTTCTGGGAATTGTAGTCCTCACCAAGTTGACGGCAAATAAGGATTTGCGATTAGCCTTTGGGATTCTTGTCCGTGGGAAGCTACTGTAGAAACTCGTGTAACTCATAACAGAAACTACTTTCGGTAACGTTGTAACTTCCAGCATGTCCATTCCCTTCCACTGTTACCTCTTACTGAACCTAAACAATTTATATTACATATTGTTCAGAAGTCTTGTGCCTGTGTCCTTATAGTCAGCATTATCATATATAATTTCCTATATCAGTGTTTCCCAAAGTGTGGTATGCGTACCCCCAGGAGTACAGGAAGAGTTTGGTGGGGGTACACAGTTGCACCAGAGTTTGTTGGGGATATGCACTGCACCGTGCTTAGGTGCGCCTAATTCTACATTCTCATAAGTACAAGGGGTGCTCAGCGTTATGAAAATTATAGAAGGGGTACACATATGTCAAAAGTTTGGGAAACACTGTCCTATATAATAAAAGGCTAATATGCAAATTGATTGAACAGCAGAATGACAGGTCGCTATGAAGTGCACTGACCATCAGTGGGCAGATGCTCAATGCAGGAGCTTCCCATTGGTGGTCAGTGTGTTCCCACAGGGGGAGCACCACTCAGCCAGAAGCTAGGCTCACTGCTGGTGAAGGAAGCGGTGGTGCCCGGAGCCTCTCCCGCCTTAGCATCTGTCAGACATCCCCTAGGGCTCCCAGGCTGCAAGAGGGTGCAGGCCCGGCTGAGAGACCCTCCACCCCCACCCCCACTGTGCACGAATTTCATGCACCGGGCCTCTAAAAGTGTATGATTATAGAGAACCAAAATGTGTGAGTTAGAAAGTAGGCACTAAAAGGAGGGGAGTGTTAATACTTTACAGCATATCCTTAGGAGAAATATTATTCCCTATTAACTTTATAGTTGGCTTTTCTGTTCACTAACCTAACCCAATGAATAGCCAAGCAGATATTTACATTCTTAGTTTGAACTAATTTTTCCTTCCCCAATCTGAATTATTCTAAGTCTTGGAGGAGAAAGTATTGGCTTAATATGTTTCTTTTATGTATGCTCAGCTTTCTATACAACACTGGTTAGTGCCAGAAGCATCATTCTTAAACATGTGAACCACAAGGTAATTTGATAATGAGCTAAGCGTACAGTGCCTCAAGCGGCATTTCTATTGCCATGTGAGAGCCTAATAATAGTCCTGCTTGTCACTGTCAAGCTCCAGTATTTGTCTTTTTAAAAATATATATATTTTATTAATTTTTTACAGAGAGGAAGAGAGAGGGATAGAGAGTTAGAAACATTGATGAGAAACATCGATTAGCTGCCTCCTGCATACCCCCTACTGGGGATGTGCCCACAACCAAGGCACATGCCCTTGACAGAATAGAACCTGGGACCTTTCAGCCCGCAGGCCGACGCTCTATACATTAAGCCAAACCGGTTTCAGCAGTATTTGTCTTGATACTCTGCTCACCTCTATCTCTGCTCAGCTATGAGAGCTTACCACCATCTCAGTGAATTATTTACAAGAAACCCGGTACTATATCCATGGGCAATAAAGTGAAAGTGTGACTTTAAACAAAACGGCTGTGCAGTAGGCAAATGCCAAAAGCCATAGGGAGGTTATGTTTAAATTCAAATAGGGTAGCTATGCAATAGATTATTAAAAGTGCTAAGGTTTAAAGTATAGTAAACCATTAACCATAAAGAACATGTAAACAAATGCAGATACTTCAACCTGGTTGTTTCCATGTCAGTTTAAACATTAGTCTTATTCTGCTATTCAGAAAAACACACAAAACCGATTTGCTAGGTTATTTTTACTTCAGAACAATTCTTTCCTATGGGGTAATATGACTAAAGACAAGCCAGAAGAATTACTGCGTTTTATAATTGAGGGGGGCGGGGGGAATACAAGGAAACGAGGTAAATTTTAGTGTCTGGACTAGGAGAGCTAGATATGACATCATCATCAATCTCTAAACTTCCCTTATTTGAGTGTATCTCCCCCTTGTCACTGCTTCCTTTTTTGGTGACTATGTCTCATTTTTCTTTTCCTACCAAATAGTCACTGACATTTCATCTGTACTTATTTCTACCATTTTTCTGTTTACCTTGCTGCAATCTTATTTCCACTCAAGCCAACTCTATGAAAACAAAGCTCAGCAGTAGCCTGCCCCATCAGTCTTTTCTCGTTCCTCATCCTCGTTCGTTTAGTCATCAGACATTGACCGAACGCACCAGGTGCCAAGCACTACTCTAGGCCCTGGGTGAGAACTAGGAAACAGGAAGTGAGGGACGTGAGGATGGGAGCACAACAGAATGAGGCAATGGAGGGCTTCTCTCCCCTCGGTTAACACAGGCAAAGCCCTTACTTACCAACTAATTGCTTTACATGTGTTAATTCGTTTAATCCCCTTGACAACCTGTTGGGAATTACTATTGTCCCAGTTTGTATGATGAAGAAACTGCAGCCAAAATATATTAAGCAACACAGCTAGTAAGTAATAGATCTATCTTTCCTTCCCTGACCACAGATTCCCTTGTGTCTCTTCCTGCCCCTCTGACTACTTCTCTTGTTTGATCTCCCTCCTCATTCCATCCCTATTTCCTGAGGGTTGACCTCCAAAATCATCTTTTGCCAGCTCAAATTCCAGTCACCTTTGCCTTACTATTTTTGTCATCCCTTAAACTCAAATATTCTAGTCTAAAGACTTTGCTTTTTTTGATGAACCAGTTCCTTTTCCTATTTATCCTTGGTCTCCTCCCTGCCCTTTCCTGAGATGCTATATTGCATTCATTCAATCTCACATTTGATCCTTCATGCCATCCATTACCACAGGCCAAACTCTGGTACCTCTCTCCCAAAATCAATTTTCTGTTCAAGAATCTTCAGTGTTTTTCTTTAAAAAAAAAAAAAAAAAATATATATATATATATATATATTTTATATAGATTTTTTATTGATTTTTTAATTTATATATATTTTTTATTTATATATATATATTTTATTGATTTTTTTACAGAGAGGAAGGGAGAGGGATAGAGAACCAAAAACATCAATGAGAGAGGAACATTGACCAGCTGCCTCCTGCACACCCTCCACTGGGAATGTGCCCACAACCAAGGTACATGCCCTTGACCGAAATCGAACCTGGGACCTTTCAGTCTACAGGCCGACGCTCTATTCACTGAGCCAAACCGATTTCAGCTGCAGTATTTTTCTAATGTCCTATTACAGCAAGGCAACATAACCCTCTGCCTGGCTTTCAAAAGTCTGCAAAAACTATACCAACCCTGCTTTATCTAACTTTACTTCCTACCACTTCCCCCAAAATAATCTCCTTTTCCCCTCTCCGTTTCTTCTCTCTTCCTTTCCAATGAGTACTTTGCTGCAGAACTCCTAATCAATTTCTATATTGACTATTAAAATTATCATTCAATCCTAACCAGTTTGGCTCAGTGAATAGAGCATCAGCCTATGGACTGAAATGCCCAAGGTTCCATTCTGGTCAAGGGCATGTATCTTAGTTGCAGGCACATCCCCAGTAGGGGTGTCCAGGAGGCAGCTGATCGATGTTTTTCTCTCATTTATGTTTTTATTTATTTTTTATTTTTTTTATTTTTTTTTATTTATTTTTTTTTTTTAAATCAATCTTTATTGTTCATATTATTACAAAGGTTCCTCATTTCTTCCACCCTCCACCAGGTTCCCACCCCACCCTCCGTCCCCCCCCCATCCCCCATTGTCCTCATCCATAGGTGCAGTTTATGTTCAGTCTCTTCTTCCCTCAATTTCCCCAATAGTAAATCCCTTTTCAGATAGTAAATCAGTTACTTAGCATTTTCTCATATCAATAATACCTCCACATGCCCAATGATACACTTCACATAAAAGACATTTCCCACTAGGTCAACCAGCCTCATCCAGGCCCCACCCAAGGCACTCACAGATCAACACCCCAGTCCTAAACTAACTCAACACATCCAGATCTAAGCCTTCATCACTTGATTCAGCAGACCCTCAAGTTCCCACGAAAGTTTCCAGCCATGTCTGAGAAGCAGCCGTGGGGCAGGGGCAGGCAAGGAGTGAGCTGTTCTGGGCCTGGCTGCTCAGGGCCTGGCCTCTGTTGCTCTGGTTCATTCCATAACCAGCTGCTCCAGGTCTGGTCACTGCCGCTCCCGACCTAGTTGCTCTGGACTTGGCTGCTGCTGCTCCGGGCCTGGCCGCTCCCAGCCTGGCAGCCGCTGCTCCGGGCCTGGCCGCACCCGACCCGGCTGCTCCCCCGGGCCTGGCCGCTCCCAGCCTGGCAGCCGCTGCTCCGGGCCTGGCCGCACCCGACCCGGCTGCTCCCCCGGGCCTGGCCGCTCCCAGCCTGGCAGCCGCTGCTCCGGGCCTGGCCGCACCAGCCCCGCCTGCTCCCCCGGGCCTGGCCGCTCCCAGCCTGGCAGCCGCTGCTCCGGGCCTGGCCGCACCCGCCCCGCCTGCTCCCCCGGGCCTGGCCGCTCCCAGCCTGGCAGCCGCTGCTCCGGGCCTGGCCGCACCCGACCCGCCTGCTCCCCCGGGCCTGGCCGCTCCCAGCCTGGCAGCCGCTGCTCCGGGCCTGGCCGCACCAGCCCCGCCTGCTCCCCCGGGCCTGGCCGCTCCCAGCCTGGCAGCCGCTGCTCCGGGCCTGGCCGCACCAGCCCCGCCTGCTCCCCCGGGCCTGGCCGCTCCCAGCCTGGCAGCCGCTGCTCCGGGCCTGGCCGCACCAGCCCCGCCTGCTCCCCCGGGCCTGGCCGCTCCCAGCCTGGCAGCCGCTGCTCCGGGCCTGGCCGCACCTGACCCGGCTGCTCTGGGCCCGGCTGCCCCGGGCCCGGCCGCTCCGAGCCTGGCCACTCCCGACCTGGATGCTCTGGGCTTGGCTACTGCTGTTCTGGGTCTGGCTGCTCCCACCCCGGCTGCTCTGGGCCCGGCTTCTTCGGGCCCGGCCACTCCGGGTCTGGGTGTTCCTGGACTGGCCACCCTGGGCTTGGCCGCCTCCGCCTCATGCCTGGCTGCCACTGCCCCAGGTCTGGCTGCTCCAGTGCTGGCTGTTGATGCTCTGGTTCTGGCTGCTGTTGTTCTGGGGCCTGGCCGTTGCTGCTCCGGGTCTGGCTGCCACTGCCTTGTGCCTGGCCACTCTAGGCCTGGCCGTCGCTGTTCCAACATTCTGTCCTTTTTTTTTCTTTTTAAAACACATTTATGTTGCAATGTTGGCTGGTGAGTTGAGTTCTGACTTAGTCTTTGATTTTTCAAGATCTTCTTTGTATTCTTTCTTAAGTAATTTTACTATTTTTTGCTCTCACTTGATTTCTTCACATTGAGAACTTCTTTGGTTTCTTCCTCCTTGTCCTGGGAGCTCAGCAGGTTGGCCTGTGGCACCCCTTTGTTCTCCGCGGGCTCCTGCGCTGCTTCAGCCTGTTGCCGGGATGGCGCCGCCCAGGAAGCAGCCCCAGGCCTTGGCTCCATTGCCCAAGCTCAGTGGTCAAAGGCTCAGGGGCACCCACGCCCCCAGGGGCCCCGTGGCCCGCCTCCTTGCTGGTGCCTGGTTGGCTGGAGTCCGGCAGGGGCTTCCGCTCCCCTCTGCGTTCCCCCAGCCTAGAGCTTTTTTTTTCTCCTTCCCGCTAGGGAAGTCCAGCATCAGAGTCAACAGACTGTCCTCTGCACGCAGTTTGCGCGAGTCCCACAGACTGTCCTCTGTGCGCAGTTTGCGCGAGTCCCGGGGGCCCGGCCTTTCGAGCTCTCCCCAGACTCCACCTCACGGCCCCGTCTCCCTCTGCCTGAGCCTGGGTCCCCAGGGATTAGCCCAGAACTGGGGTTTGGAGCAGTCCGGACTGAGGCTCAGCGCCGCCGGAGGCCTTGTTTCTTCCGACTAGGGTAACCCAGCATCAGAGTCAACATTCAGTCCTCTGCGCGCACATTGCGCGCGACTCCTGGGGCCCTGCCTTTCGCTGCTTTTCCGCCTCACGGCCCTGTCTCCTCCCGCAGGAGCCTGGGTCCCCAGGGTCTGGCCCATAACTGGGTCTCAGCGCTGCCGGTTCGGGGGGGCTCAGCGCTGCCGGTTCGGGGGGGCTCAGCGCTGCCGGTTCGGGGGGGCTCAGCGCTGCCGGTTCGGGGGGGCTCAGCGCTGCCGGTTCGGGGGGGCTCAGCGCTGCCGGTTCAGGGGTTCAGCCCAGGCTGGGGGTTTTATTTCCTTCCTGCTAGGGAAGGAAAGGCGGCTCCCCGCCCTCTCCTCCTCTCTGGCTGCGACCTCTCTGTGCGCGCGTGCGGGCCGGCAGGCGCGCGCAGCATGTCTCCGTACCTTAGGCTTTTTTTCAGCTCCTCTGATTTTCTTTCTGGTTTTCTCTTTCCTTCTTGTTGTAGAAATTTCAGTCAGTCGACTACCTGTAGCTCTGGGCAATGTCCACTCTACATTTTAGTTGTATTCCATTGAAATTGTTGTGTGCTGCCGCGGCTAGATGTCTACCCGAGCAGCCATCTTGGATCCTCCCTCATTTATGTTTTTAACTCTCTATCCCTCTTCTTTCAACTGCATAAAAAAATCAATAAAATATAACCTAGCTAATAAAAGAGTGATATGCAAATTAACCATCACTCCGCTACACCCACAAATCACACCCACCAGCCAATCAGGGGGAAATATGCAAATAAACCCAACCAAGATGGCTACAGCCAGAGAGAGCAGGAGGGAGGCTTGAGTTTCCCCGGCAATGGAGCAAGCCAAGCTTTCCGCCTGCCCTTGCTGACCTAAGTGAGATCGGGCCTAAACAGGCAGTCAGACATTTCTCGAGGGGTCCCAGATTGGAGAGGGTTCAGGCTGGGCTGAGGGACACCCCCCTCATGCACAAATTTCATGCACCAGGCCTGTAGTGCTATAATAAAAATCCATGTGAATGTAGTCTCTCTTTCTCTCAAAATATCTTATTCAACTGGAGGTACAGAGAGGATACGCTGGACAAAGGGGTGCTTCACATCTGGCAGAATGGAGCAGGAGGGTGTGAGATTTCATCAAGTTTCTTTGCATGGCATGCAACTTAAAACTTATACATGTTTTATTTCTGGAATTTCCTAATTAATATTTTTGGATCATGACTGACAGAGGGTCAATGAAATGGTAAGAAGTGAGCCAGTGAACAAACGTAATCCATATTAACAATGAAAAACTAATCAACCTAAAAATACTGACTAGATTTTAAATTGTTTTTCCTAGTATTGAATGATTGCTATTTTGTAGACAGTTTCTTTTTTTAATTCTTTGTTGTTTAAAGTATTACATATTAGATTTAAAATTTTTAATGTTTAACACTAAATATGATTTTAGAAAGAAATTTCTATCCCGGGCATAATAATCTCACATTGACATCTAAATGGCATCATCATTCCAGCCTTAATGTGGCAAACTTTTTCTAACAAAGAAAAGATGAATGGACTGAGCTTTATTTTTCAATTTTAATAGAATGAAAACTATGTCACAGAAAGCTATTTTTTAGTTAAAAAAAAAAATCCACACGGCTAATGAATGTGTCAGCACCACCACATTGGTTAATTTCATGGGTGCAAATATACTTTTAAATATCTGCCACTGTTCCCAGCCACGTGATATCTTCTTTAAACCTCTAACTAGGTTTCATCGACAGCTCTGGTTAGGTTCACCTTGACCGCGTGGGTGGTTTTGGCCGGACCCCCCCGGAGACCGGCTATGAACACCTGAGGCCTGGGCACGGCAGTGTTGCCCTCCCTCTTGGTCTGCGTGCCCGCGTGCTTTACAGGATACACCTGCGAACAATTTTCTCTCCTCATGTGACTGAGATCGGTTTGTACTGAGTGAGTAACATTCCGCCGCAAATTAGCCTAAGTAGAAAGAGAGTGCATAGGGGTGACATTTCTCTAAACAGACAATTAGGCGAATATTATCAGGCACCAGTTAATATCTGGCTATGTTTTCAATCCATAAAGAAATTAGTTTTTCAACAGCACATTAGAGAAAAAGAAAAAACAAAAACCTAGAAGGGAATAGAAAATACCCTTTGCTGCAAAATAGGAAAATATATTAAATAGATCACTCAGGCTAAGAAGCAAGGAGGAGCTTATAAGAATAGGAGTGCCCTGGCCGGTGTGGCTCAGTTGGTTGGGCATCATCCCATACACCAGAAGAAGGCAGAATCAATTCCTGGTCCGGGCACAGGGCATATACCTAGGTTTGCAGGTTTCATCCCCAGCCCTGGAGCATGTAGGATGCAGGAAGCAACCAATCAATGTATCTCTCTCACATCAATGTCTCTCCCTCTCCCTCTCCCTCTCCCTTTCCCTTTCCTTTTCTCCCTCTCCCTCTCCCTCTCTTTCTCCATCTCTCTCCCTCCCTCCTCCCCTCCCTCTCTAAAATCAATGTTTTAAAAGTATATTTTTAAAAAAGAATAGGAGTTACTGAAGTTCTGGTGAAGTGCAAGAAAAAAAAAATCACAGAGGGCATTAGAGTAGTGGTTCTCAACCTTTCTAAAGCTACCACCCTTTACTACAGTTCCTCTATAGGGCCTCTAGTATAGGTAAAAAGCTGTGTGGGGGGAAGTAATTTTGATTCTCAATCACCTGCAGTATCTCAAACTCTGAAATATTTCCTCTAATTCCAGGTCTCTCCTTAACTCACACGCTCTCATGCAGTGATTCTCAACCTTTCTAATGCTGCGACCCTTCAATACAGTTCCTCATGTTGTGGTGACCCCCAACCATAAAATTAATTTCATTGCTACTTCATAACTGTAATTTTGCTACTGTTATGAATCGTAACGTAAATATCTGTGCTTTTTAGGCTCTACAGCAGCAGTTGAGAACCGCCAGCAGGGATCAAATCCACAACCTGAGATTTGATCTAGTCCTGACTGGGACTAGAACCTGAGAGGTTCCAACCAACTGAGCCACATCAGCCAGGGAGGGGGTGCTTTAAATATTAGCACCTCATGGATTAGCATAATGAAGTAAAGCTATTAAATAGATAAATAGAAAGAAGAGAGAGAGAGAGAGAGAGAGAGAGAGAGAGAGAGAGAGAGAGAGAGAGAGAGAGAGAGAGCGCACGCGCGCGAGGGCGGGCTAGCGAGAAATAGCATGTACACTAATGGAACAATGATCTAGAAGATATACAAGGACACTGAACCTGGCTAGAATAATTTCAGAGTAGTTTCATGCTGCCATATTTCTACATATGCTTAAAAGAAGTAGACGATCTTACAATGTAAAGCTGGCAAATGAAAAGTTACACTAATTATTATTATGTTAACAAAGAACTCTGTACAACTCCATATTTTATAAAAATAAACTTAACTCTATCAAAATTTAACATATCAAAATTTTCTAGCCCATAGGTGCTTTTAGAAAATATTATTACAAACCAATTTTATAGCTTTTCTTCTTAATTCCCATTCATTCCACTCATATGATCTCACAATTGTGGGTGGTAATATGTGTGTATCCGTCTGTGTGCTGGTTTCACTCTTAGTAATTGGTCTTATAAGACGTTTGACAGTATCTTTGAACTAAAGAAATGGAGTTTTGTGATTAATATTTGCAAAAAATAAACATTATTTACAGTTAACTAATAAAGTATTCAGCTAAAACTAACAAAAGGTTAGAAAAACAAGAAATTTTGAGCATGGGATGTACTTGTAAATAGCAGCAAAGAAAATAGCTTATAATTAGTGAGATGTGTATAATTTATCTTCCTGGCATTGTGGCTTTGTCTGATTTTGTGGATTTACTGTAGGAGACGGATTGTGGAGGGGGTAAACCTGACATCACTCACTGCCAAGTCCAATGCCCCCTCTCTGACTTTCACAAATGGTCGCATGAGAGAAACCTTATTGGAAATGAACAGAACCTTCAAATAGCTATTAAATATTCTGTCTAAGACACATTTCTTTAAAGCATTGGAACCTAGGATATATCTTAAACCCAAACTAGGCCTACATCACCAGATTCTTATCCAAAAGGGGTGTTTTTTTAATTGAATATGTTAATTTCCTACTGGGACACCCAGAAGCTCACTATGACTATCACACGGTAAGTGTTCAGGAATCCCACGCTGACAGGTGCCGTGGAGTTGCTGCGGGTGTGGCAGAGGCTGAAGGAGCTCAGACACAGCACAAAGGAGAGAGAAAAGATGAACTTTCCACCCAAGACAAGCAACAGATAGGAGTGCCTACCGTTTTACACGAGACATAATTTTTACCTTCACAATAAACTTATGATATAGTAAGATAGATAAAAACATGCTGAAAAATATTATTAAGGACATTATACCACACACGTAAATGGCAAGTAAATAACAACACAGACGATAGCACTGGAGGGAGAAAACTTACACCCATGGGAATGTGAGAACAGCTGAGAATTACATGGAGAGAAAGGGAGTAGGGGTGGGAACGGGCTGGAAGAGGTTAATGGGAGAGGGGGAGGAGGACCTAATACTTTAAACGATAAAGTTTTTTTTTTTTTAAATATATTTTATTGATTTTTTTACAGAGAGGAAGGGAGAGAGATAGAGAGTTAGAAACATCGATGAGAGAGAGTCATCGATCAGCTGCCTCTTGCACACCCCCTACTGGGGATATGCCCGCAACTGAGGTACATGCCCTTGACCGGAATCGAACCCGGGACCCTTCAGTCCCCAAGCCGACGCTCTATCCATTGAGCCAAACCGGTCTCGGCGATAAAGTTTTTTTAAAGAAAAAAAAAAAATAAAATAAACAGAAAGGGAAAAAAGAGACCAGATACACAGGGAACTTTTCCCTATGACAGCATGCATTGTTTACATGCAGCACACCTGTCTGGTTATCTGATTCATTGTCTTCAAGCTATCTCACAACTCTGAGACAGAGAGGAACGGGTACAACACTTGATCTTAGCCAAAAAGCAATAAACTGACTGTGTTTTTAAGTGTCATAAATTCTTTTTTTTTTTTTAATCTTCACTTGATTTTTTTTTTAAGAGAGGAAAAGGGGGCGAGGGGAAGAAAGGGGGTGGGGGGGAGAAGAGAGAGAAAAAAGAAAGAAAGAAAAAAAACATAGATTGGTTGTCTCCCGCACACACCCCGGGACCTTCTGGACAATGTGTAACCACCAAATCATGCCGGTCAGGGCTTAAATGTAATACATTTTTAAATATCTACCCTGCTTACCTCAGAACATGGAATGAGGTTTTCAAATTGTTGGTGAAGTTCCAGCAGCTGAATTAATTCTGCATGCTTTTTGGCCTTTTCTGTAATTAAATTAATGTACTTGTCAGGGTTTTCTGCAAATGCATATGCCGCATCACTGGTATTGAAAGTGTAATATTTTTCTTTATATTTGAAAATTCCAATTGCTTGATTTCCTGGAATTAAGAAAAGAATTGAATGGGCTATAAAATATTAAGTTGATTCTATGTTTGTAATATACCCATAGAAATATTTTCTATATATTGCATTTTAACCTATTACTTATGTTTTTATTTTGCTGATTAAATAAGTAATTTTAGAGTATACATTTTTCAAAAATATATATTTTATTGATTTTTTACAGATAGGGAGAGTTAGAAACATCGATGAGGGAGAAACATCAATCAGCTGCCTCCTGCACACCCCTTCTGGGGATGTGCCTGCAACCAAGGTACATGCCCTTGACCGGAATCGAACCTGGGACCTTTCAGTCCGCAGGCCGGCGCTCTATCCACTGAGCCAAACCAGTTTCGGCTAAAGTATACATTTTATTAAATTATAGCTTCTCTGAAATTCATATAAAATTTTTTTTTATTTTAAAGCATGATTTTATAGAAAAATATTTCACTATTTAGATACAAGGTATTTAAAAATCTCTTTTGAGAAGCCAATCACCTGGCAGGTTTCACAAATCTCTCCCAACTAAACTAACTACCATAGAATAATTGTAAGAACTGCAAAAATGGGACATCTTTTTTAAAATGTAAGTTTGCATGTTAGAAAGCATTTCCCACTGTGAAAAGATACTACATAAAATATGGATTATTAAGTATCCACCTAGTTGGTGGGAGTTATATAGGAAGTACAATGTGTCTTATTTTTTCTTTCATTTATTCAACAAATATTTATTGGCCCTGCTCTTGGCACTGAGGATACAGAAGAAAACCAACTCCCCACTCTCACCAAATCAATTATACCCTAGGCCAGAGAATGATCAGTGCTACAAAAAGCAAAAACAAACAAACAAACAAAAAATACCGTAGGTAAAGCTGGTTGAACACATAGTAATAAGAAAGCAGATGAGGTTGCTATCTTCAATTGGGTGACCAGGGAAGGCTGAATAAAATAAGCAGTGTATGTAGCTATGTGGCAGGTACAGCAAATGAGCTTGGCGCGTTCAGGAGTAACAAGCCAGGGGGGCTGGAGTAGAGAGCAGGGGGAAGCCTGGCAGGCGGTGAAGTGGGTGAGGTCATCGGAAAAGGACAGTGACCGGGGAGCCACAGTATCAGCTTGGGGTTGAGCCCTGTGGTCTGCAGGAGTGGACAGAAGCAGGGAGGTGCTTCCGAATTCCTCTGAGGCAGTGCGGGTTGCTGCTGCCCAGAAAATAATGTTGTGAGTAGAAATACTACAGTAAACAGAAATAGAGTGGTCAGGACTGGCTTACACTCAGAGAGGATTCTAAAACCCAAGCCCCACAAGCTCCCTCTTTCTTAGAATCATAGTTTATAGATGCTGGAAGGGACCCATCAGACCTCCTAGTTGGTCCTTCTCCTTTTCCTGACTTGGAAACCGTGGTCCACAGAAAGCATGAGATTAGCTGAAGGCTACACAGCCCACTAATGGCACAAGTGGGACTAGAAATCAGACTTCTGAATCCCAGCCCACAGCTCTCCAACCTCATCATGCTACCCCTGTCACTCCACACACCCATGTTTCCTTTTGTGTTTGTGTCTCTTCTGACTCAGAGGAAGAAAAGAAAGAAAGGAGGGAAGGAGGGAACAGAAAAGAAAGCAAAGGAGAAAAGAGAAGAAGCCATCTACTTCTTCACGGATCTTGAATGTTCTCTCCCCAGTATTGATGACCCTCACAGGGGTCTCAGAAAACTATTTTCTCAGTCCTCCATGGCAAACCTTTTGTTAATCCCATTATGAAAAAAATCCAATGCCATAAAAATGAGTCAATTTGTGTGCTCTCTAGCCTGTATATGTGCAATCCCAATAATGAGTTGTAAATATAATACCCACCTGTGAAATATAACAAAAGAAATAAAAAAGAAAAGGAGGAGCTTAATGATATAAGGAAAATAAGACACAATCTTATCAAACTGTTTTCATTCTAGTCCTAGCCAACTTCTTGTTATCCCAATTCACACAAGACTTTTTGGATAACTTACTCCATCTCAATTCCTGATTTACTGTTGGTTTTAGAAGCTATAATAATATCAAGATAAATTTTACTTAATAAGAAACTGGCCATTTTCTTAGTGGCATCTAAGAAATCCTGATCTACAGTAGTAGAATGTAAAATGACAAAGAATATTATAATTATAAAAGCATAAAATGCTAATTAGACTGGATAGCCAAATGACCTTCTGGATGTCATTCCAGATGTCTTTTCAGACAAAGCCATGGCAGGCGGGGGCTGAGGCATAGGCAGTTAGGGGAGATCAGGCAGGCAGGCAAGTGGTTAGAGGTGATGAGGCAGGCAGGCGAGCAGTTAGGGGCAATCAGGCAGGCAGGCAGAGTGGTTAGGGGTGATCAGGCAGGTAGATGAGTGGTTAAGGGAGATTAAGTAGGCAGGCAGACGAATGGTTAGGGGCAATCAGGCAGGCAGGCAAGCAGTTAGGGATGATCAGGCAGGCAGGCAAGTGTTTAGGGGCGATCAGACAGGCAGGCGAGTGGTTAGGAGCCAGGACTCCCAGATTGGGAGAGGGTGCCAGCCGGGGGACCCCCCCTCCTCCCATGCATGAATATTTTTAAATAAAATACCAGAAAAATCAGTGTTTCTCTTTCACGTAATTTACTTTGGAGGAGGATGTATTTCAGTGATGTCATGTAACATTTCTACAATCCATCACCGGACACATGAGTCAGCCCCTATTTATGATATGGCAGCATCCATACTTTATTATATACACATTCAATTACTTATCACTCGTGTTATAACTTCATGTTTGTGTCAATCTACCAGATTATACTGTGAGTACATCAATGATGAAGGCTTTGTCTAGTTCATCTGTGTGATTCCTTTCTAAATTCACCATCAGATTCCATAAAGATTTACAAAGTGACTAAGTGACAATGACAGCACTTCATTTAAAGAAAGAAAGTCGAGTAAGTAGGAGCAATATTATTTCCAGCGGTACCTGGAAGGAGAAGACCATCTGTTGTCGCCAGTGTATAAGCACAGAATCCCCGGTACTGAATTAGCAGCTTAGCAAAATTTGCTGTTGTTTCTGGGAAAAGCCATTGTTGTCTTTTGAAATCCATTGGATGTACTCTTTCTTCTAAAGTGAAAGAGGAGGACAAGAAAAACTTTATTCAATGAGAAGAGTAAACAACCCAAGGAAGTGAGCGGAAGGAACTGGCTGCCGTGTGACTGAAACAGAGAGAGACCAGCTTCAGTCCAGAGGGTGCAGCTGTTTACACCGGCTGGCAAACGCTTAGATAGCAGGACTATTGCTTCTTGAAACAGATGACAATATTTTGAACAGAAAGAGTCAAGGAAATATCTCTTTGTAACTTAATTTTCAAACAAGGTGTACTTTTAAACATTCTCCCAAGTGTTGTTAGGTAACGAACTTGCATTTGATAAGCAAATTGACTGTTTTTAACACAAATAAAAACATGCCTTCGTAGAACATCGCTACCCAAGATTCTCGGCTGTCGCGATCCTATTATACTACACTTGGGTGTGTGGCTCAGTAGCCAAAGATCAGATGCCACACCTGGCCTCGTGGCTACGACTAGAAGTAACTCACACTTTGGAGAGAATAAGCCTTCCCTCTTTATTTCCTGATATGCCCGGAAGCCTTGAACAGTTATGACATGTGTCAAGTGTCAAGTGAGTTCTTTCAGAAGAAAACCGGGTCTGGCTAGTGTGGCTCAGTGATTTGAGCATCGACCCAAGAACCAAGGGGTCGCTGGTTCAATTCCCAGTCAGGGGCACATGCCCGGGTTGCAGGTTCAATCTCCAATAAGGGTGTGCAGGAGGCAGCCGATGGATGAGGTTCTCTTTCATCGATGTTTCTATCTCTATCTTCTCCCTTCCCCTCTCTTTAAAAATCAAATTAAAATATATACTTTTAAAGAGAACAGTGGGTCTCCCCATATACTGGAGAGTGTTTTAGTGGGTACAAAGTTCTGACCGATGGTGGGAGACACAGGTCTACATCTAAGTTGCAAGTGAACTATCTTGCCGATACGGTTGAGTTTAATACCTCCTATTGAAGTGGCTGTACCTTTTTAATTTAATGTAGTAATTGCATAGATATGCTGTTTTAATAAAAATAAAATCAGTAAAAGAAACTTTAATTGGAAGCATGCCTTTGAGTCTCTTTGATCTTATGTGTTCTCCTTTCAGATTCTATGTGTTCAATAGTTTCATTACTGCTGATTCGTTTTTATTTTCCACTTTACAAAAAAATAGAATTTGAAAAGGAAATTTGGAGAGTAAATTATCTAATTTCATTTTCTGCAAAAACTTTCTTTTTAGGCAACAACTCAAATCCTAGGCCCTATTTTGGCATTTCTCATCCATTTTAAATTGTCTTTAGGGTAGGAGGGACCAAAAAAGTAAAGAGAAATTTATTGATAAAGACAGCCTTTCAAGAATCAATGCATCTCTTAAAGGGTTCTAAGATAAGCTCAGTTAATTCTACAAAGATAAAATCTATTGATTTATAAATTTCAACCTCAATATGAGATAGGCATATGGCAAATAGCATTCCAAAAAATAAAACTTAATTTGCAACAAATATAGCAAGAATTAATATAATTGTCTATTGCAAATCAATAATAAAAACCACTAAAACTACGAGAGAAACATGTAAGCACAGAAGAATCATTGTTAACCTAAACACTAGCCATAACATTAGGAGTGGTTATTGCTGGGTAGTAAGATATCCAGTTTACTTATTTTTGTTTTCCCAATTCTCGAGATGAAAAATTATCTTACTATCAAGAAAGATGTTTAACACCTTATAAGAAAGATATAATATGGAAAATTTAAAACAAAAGAGTGACTTTATTCTAGAGGTGGTGTTAAGAGGAAGAGGAAATAACAGATGATTTCTACTACCCAGGTGTTCTTTCAGTCGAAACAAATCAGTTTTCACAACTACTCCATCAAGAAGCTCTTGCATTATTTTTTCAGGAAACAGCAAGTCATGAGTGCCCAGAAAGCGCTCAAGGTTAGCAGTTAAGTTAGTGAGGATTCCAATCAAAACAGTTTCATCCTGAAAGCTAGTCCACACATTGGAAAGTGCAATGAAGATGGGCTGAGGAAGAGAAAAATAAACGTTCAAAATGTAATTAATTCAATTATAATCACTGTAGTCTTGAGACTAAATACAATTTGTAAAGAAATTATTCCTTAAGACAAATAAAAGTCTCATGAAGTTAACAGAATCTAAATAGAAAGTGGAGTCATAAATTATGAAAAAATAAACTTGTATTTTATTTGAAAGCATTTTATTTTGGTATGATTATTATAAAGTTAATTTACTCAAACAAACAAAACACAAAGCCAAACGCACACATTTGATCACCCGGCTCTATTTCCAAAGAGCAGACACCACAAATGACCTTGTGGCTACCGCTGGAACTAAACGCACACTCTGGAGAAAAGAAACCTTTCCTCCCTGCCCTGGCATGCCTGAAAGCAGGAAGGTTTATGGGTGTTTCACCCGAAAAGGTCAAAGGGAAAATAACTTCTTTTGTATTTTGTTTTTTTTTAAAGCTAAATTTGACACAGGGTTAGATTTATCTGTCTCAACACGATTCAAAAGAACATGTAAAGTCTAGCAATATATCTTGGGGCATCTTGTGAGCTGCAAGTTTAAAGATTTTATGTCAGTGAGATAAAATGTTTTTTACTCGTATTAAAGATCACAGACTTCTAGAACAAACAAAAAATATTCAGGCTCAAATTTTTTTAAAAAAAATATATTTTATTGATTTTCTTACAGAGAGGAAGGGAGAGAGATAGAGAGCTAGAAACATTGATGAGAGAGAAACATCGACCAGCTGCCTCTTGCACACCTCCTACCGGGGATGTGCCCGCAACCAATGTACATGCCCTTGACCGGAATCGAACCTGGGACCTTTCAGTCCACAGACCGATGCTCTACTGCTGAGCCAAACCGGTTTCGGCTGGTTTCTTAGTTTTTAAAATCAAATATTGGGGATGATTATAGAAAATTATCAGAGACCCAAAGTGCTCTATAAAATACTGCATTTGCATCTTCTGCCTCCTTGGGGCTACCAGATTTGTCCATAAGATGGTGTAGATCATCAGAAAAGTCAGCATAAACGCAGGTCTGGTCATCAAAGCGGTTATTATCTGTCTTTTCCAAAGAGTCACAAGTTGCATCACCTCCTTGTTGAAACCAGCTATTGTGAACACATTTTCAATACTATATTATGGATTATTTTTGTTGCCCAGCCAATACTGATAGTATGGTTATTATTACATACTAGAGGTCCAGTGCACGAGATTTGTGCCCTTGGGGGGTGGCAGGGGAGTCCCTCAGCCCAGCCTGTGCCCTCAGGCAGTCCATAACCCCTCGGGGGATGTCCACCTGGAGGCAGTCAGACACCCCTCTCGCCATCCGGGGCCCTCACAGTCTGGGACCCCTTGCTCTTTACTGCCCACCTGCAGTGGAGACAGGAGAGGCTCCCATCACTGCCACTGCTGCGTGGCTTTTGGCTGAGTGTACTGAACACTAGGGGGCATTGAGCACCTGCCCCCTGGTGGTCAGTGCATGTCATAGCAATCAGTTGTTTCACTGTTTGATCGATCTACATATTAGGCTTTTATTATATAGGATTAATCTGTATTTTCTTCAGCAGCAAATGCCTACCAAGGGAGTTCTGTCATCCAATGTATACTATTACCACAAAATAACCAAGAAGAACAGAATCAACTCATATGAAAACAATATTAATGTTTCAGTAATTAAGTATAGGACAGGGTGAAAGTAGCTCTACAGCTTTGAGTACACAAAACACAGTTTATCCTTGTATTATTATTATTCATTAATTATTGTATTATTTTCCATATGAACAACTATACATCTACTTTGCCCTACCCTGCATAATCATAAATACTTCTGACTCAGTTTTATAGGACCCAAACTCTATTCATCCTTCGATAAGGGCAAAGCTGATGACAGATACTTACAAAGACTTGTGACGTTGGGACAGCCGTCTTGGACTTTACGGTCATTGTTAATTGTTCAAGCAGGGCTCCTAACTGCTTTGTCAGCATTTCCACTTCTTGAGCACAACTAATTATTTCTGACTGTGAAGACAACATCATTTGCATTGATATTTTTGTAATTTTACCTAAAAAATCATATGTGTTTTAAGCCCCATCTGCTCTCTGAAGGTCAGCCCACTGATTGGGGGGGGGGGGTAGATTTTGTGCTCCATGGCTTCCCCAGCACCAGGAATAGTGCTGGCATATGGTCAGTGCTCTACAGATAGTTGGTGGATGGGTAAATCTTTTTCTCAAAGTATGCTGAATTCCTGAGAAATGGACCCTATGGCACAGCTTTGCATAGCTGTTATTTCCAATGATAAAATTAATGAGGTGTTCCTCTGAACACTATTTTGATATCAAGGTTTTTAAAAATTACATTCAAGAAGTAGAAAGTCTTACAAATCTCAGTATTGACAGAAAAAATAATATATATCTGATACAACAATAGCAGTATGAAAATAGGTGCTGAATTCTAAGTCTGAAATAATTGCTAGCATTTATTCTTACTATGTACTAAAGCCATACGAAATACATAAATACAAAAAGGAATACGTACAAATAAGAAAACCAAGGTATAGAAAGGAAGTAAATTGACCAAGAATATACAGCTAATAAGAGGTAGAATCATGATTCTACCCGACCATCAGACATAAGAGCACAGAACTCAGCTTTGCCCATCATACGTCCTGCGTAAGATGCCATCAGAAATGGCAGAGGTATGGGTGTACCACTACAGCGTAAAAAATGACATTTGCTTTAAGTGAAAAAAAGTGCATTTGAGTTTTCAAATATCTGTACCTATTTTTCAATAACAAAAACAATTACTTCACAAAAATATTTAATATTACTATATTTCAAATAATTTTTTGTTGTTGTTGTTAATCCTCACCCAAGTACATTTTTCCATTGATTTTTAATTTTTTTTATATTATATATATATTGTATTGATTTTTTTACAGAGAGGAAGGGAGAGAGATAGAGAGCTAGAAACGTCGATGAGAGAGAAACATCAACCAGCTGCCCCCTGAAAACCCCCTACCAGGGATGTGCCTGCAACCAAGGTACATGCCCTTGACCGGAATCGAACCCGGGACCCTTCAGTCCGCAGACCGACGCTCTACCACTAAGCCAAACTGGTTTCGGCTCCATTGATTTTTAGAGAGAGTGGGGAGGGGAGGGTGAGAGAGAGAAGCATCAATGTATGACAGACACATTGATTAGTTACTTCCCACAGGCTTATTTAATTGAATATCTTTAGTGATATAGCAATACATTAAAAAAAATCATACACCATCATCAAGTGGGATTTATTCTGGCATTCAAGGTTGGTACAATGTCTGCAAATCAGTAAGTGTGAAACATCACATAAACAAAATGAAAGGATAAAAATCATATAATTATATCAATAGGTGCATAAAAAGCATTAGACAAAATCTGGGTCCAAGTTATGATAAAAATCTCTCAGCATAGTCGAATAGAGGGAATATATCTCAACGTAATAAAGGCTATATGTCAAACTCACAGCCAACATGATACTCAGTGGGGAAAAACTAAAAGTGTTCCCCTGGAGATAAGGAAGAAGACAAGGATGTCCACTTTCCCCGCTTTTATTCAACATAGTACTTGAAGTCCTAGCCACAGCAATCAGACAAGAAAAATAGAAGACATCCAAATTGGAAAGAAAGAAGTGAAACTGTCATTATTTGCACATGACATGATACCATATACAAAGATCCCTAGAGATTCCATTAAAAAAAACTACTAGGACTGATAAATTAATTCAGTAAAGTAGCTGGGGACAAAATTAATATTTAGAAATCAGTTACATATTTATGCACCAATAATGAATTATCAGAAAGGGAAACTAGGAAAAACAATCCAACTTACAATTGCATCAAAAAGGAATATATCTAGGAATGACTTTTACAAAGGAGGTAAAAGACCTGTACTCAAAAAATTACAAGACACTAAAGAAAGAAACTGAAGAAGATACTAATAAATGGAAGCCTATGCCATCTTGATAGAAAGAATATCATTAAAATGTCCATACTACTCAGAGCAATCTATAGACTGCAATACAATTCCTATTAAAATACCAATGGCATTTGTCACAGAACTAGAATAATTCAAAAATTTATATGAAACAGCCAAAACCGGTTTGGCTCAGTGGATAGAGCGTCGGTCTGTGGACTGAGAGGTCCTGGGTTAGATTCCCGTCAAGGGCATGTACCTTGGTTGCGGGCATATCCCCATTGGGGCGGGAAGGGGGGTGTAGGAGGCGGCTGGTCGATGACTCTCTCTCATCGACGTTTCTGACTCTCTATCCCTCTTTCTTCCTCTCTGTGAAAAATCAATAAAATATATTTTTTTTTTAAAAATTTATATGAAACAACAAAAGACCTCAGAATAGTCACAGCAGTCTAGAGAAAAAAGAATAAAGTTGGCTGAAACCGGTTTGGCTCAGTGGATAGAGCATCGGCCTGTGGACTGGAGGGTCCCGGGTTCGGTTCCAGTCAAGGGCATGTGCCTTGGTTGCGAAAACATCCCCAGTGGGGGGGAGAGGGGTGCAGGAGGCAGCTGATCGATGTTTCTCTCTCATAGATGATTCTGGCTCTCTATCCCCCGCTCTTCCTCTCTGTAAAAAATCAATAAAATATATTGGGGGGAAAAAAGAATAAAGTTAGAGATATCATGCTACCTGATGTCAAACTATGTTACAAGGCCATCAAAACAGCATGGTGCTGGAATAAAAACAGACATATACATCAATGGAACAGAATAAAAAAGCCCAGAAATAAACCCATACATCTACGGTCAATTAATACATGACAAAGGAAACAAGAACATACAATAGGTTAAAGACAGTCAATTCAATAAATGGTGTTGGTAAAAATCAAACAGACACATGCAAAAAAAAAAATGAAACTAGATCACCTTCTTATACAATATACAACAATAAATTCAAAAATGGGGTAAAACCTTAAATGTATGCCCCAGCTGGTTTGGCTCAGTGGATAGAGCTCAGCCCATGGACTATAGGGTCCTAGGCTCAATTCCTGTCAAGGGCATGTACCCTGGTTGGGTGTGTGGGAGGCAACCAATCAATGAATGGGTTTCTCTCACATCGATGTTTCCCACTCTGTGTTTCAGATCTCCCTTTCACTCTCTAAAAATCAATGGAAAAATATCCATGGGTAAGGATTAATAAAAAGTAAATTAAAAAACTAATAAACAGAGTAGTTATCAGGTTGCCTTCTTTATCAATGACCTGGTTCTACCTTTTGTTTCAGCTCGATATCTAAAGAGGTTGATGTCTATGGGAAAGGCCAGGTCATATGACATTAACTCACCAAAATGGTCTGAAGGAAGATCTCATACTGTCGCACATTATAGAGTACTTCTTTTAACATATGTGGCTGCATGTCTGCAACCAGGAGCGGGTTCTTTGTCACTTTCTCAAGGATGGCTGTATAGCGGTATGCCTGTTCTTGAGCAATCCGTAGTTGGGAGTCAATATGTTCAGTGGTGGCTGGGATTGCTTCCTGTAGAATAGCTGGTACTGTTTTTTAAAGGTATTGAGAGAGACATTAAGAAATTTAAGCCCTGGACAGTGTGGCTCAGTTGGTTGAGTGTTGTTCCATGCATTGAGAGGTAGCCAGTGCAATTCCTGGTCAGGGCACAAGCCTGGGTTATGGGCTCAATCCCCAGTGGGAGAGGTGTGGAGGAGGCAGCTGACTGACATTACTCTCTCATCGATGTTTCTCTCTCATCTTCTCCCTTCCTCTCTCTCTAAAGTCAAGAAAAACATTTTTTCATCTAAAATGTCTAGAAAGGGGTCATATTTTGAGCTTTAAGTTGAGTTAGTTTTATGCCAACCAAATTAATAATGCTCAGAGGCATATACTTCAATGGGTCCCAAACCATGAAAAAAAAATAATAAAAACCCTGTCCAATTCTCAAAGATAGACCACATTTTGGGACATAGGCAAAGTCTCTTCAAATTTAAGAAGATAGAAATCGTATCAAGTATCTTCTCAGACCATAATGGCATAAAACTGGAAATTAACTACAATAAAAATAATCCAAAGAAATCAAACACATGGAGATTAAACAGCATGCTATTAAACAAGGACTGGGTTACCAGAGAAATCAAGGAAGAAATTAAAAACATCCTGGCAACAAATGACAATGAAAACACAACAATCCAAAATCTATGGGACACAGCAAAAGCAGTTTTGAGAGGGAAGTTCATATCCTTACAAGCCTATTGCAAAAAACTAGAAAAAAGGGTAACAGATGATCTAACTCTACAACTCAAAGAATTAGAAAAGGAGCAACAAGAAAAGCCCAGTGTAAGCAGAAGGAAGGAAATAACAAAAATCAGAGCACAGATAAACGACATAGAGACCAAAAAAACAATACATAAGATCAACAAAACCAAGAGCTGGTTTTTTGAAAGAATAAACAAGATAGATGAACCTCTAGCCAGGCTAACCAAGAAACAAAGAGAGAGGACCCAAATAAACAAAATCAGAAATGAAAGAGGTGAAATAACAACAGACCCCACCGAAATACAACAGATTGTTACAAAATACTACGAACAACTCTATTCCAACAAACTGAACAACCTGGACGAAATGGACATATTCCTAGAAAAATACAACCTTCCAAAACTCAATCAGGAAGAATCTAAAAATCTCAATAGACCAGTGACTTGGGAAGAAATTGAAACAGTCATCAAAAAGCTTCCAGCAAACAAAAGCCCAGGGCCTGATGGCTTCACAGGAGAGTTTTACCAAACATTCAAGGAAGAACTAAAACCTTTCCTCCTCAGACTATTCCAAAAAATCCAAGAGGAAGGAACACTTCCAAACTCCTTCTATGAAGACAGCATCATCCTAATACCAAAACCAGATAAAGACAACTCAATGAAAGAGAATTACAGGCCAATATCCCTCATGAACATAGATGCCAAAATCCTCAACAAAATTCTAGCAAATAGACTCCAGATGAACATCACAAAGATCATACACCATGACCAAGTAGGATTTATTCCAGGAATGCAAGGATGGTACAATATCCGCAAATCAATAAATGTGATACATCACATAAACAAACTGAAAGATAAAAATCATATAGTCATATCAATTGATGCAGAAAAAGCATTTGATAAAATCCAACACCCTTTCCTGATAAAAACTCTTAACAAGGTGGGAGTACAAGGATCATACCTCAACATAATAAAAGCTATATATGATAAACCCACAGCCAACATTATACTCAATGGGCAAAAACTAAAACCATTCCCTCTAAGAACAGGAACAAGACAGGGATGCCCACTCTCGCCACTCCTGTTTGACATAGTACTGGAAGTACTAGCCATTGCAATTAGACAAGAGGAGGAAATAAAAGGCATCCAAATTGGAAAAGAAGTAGTAAAGTTATCCTTATTTGCAGATGATATGATATTATACATAAAAAACCCAAAAGACTCCATTAAAAAACTAATTGACTTAATAAATGAATTTGGCAATGTAGCAGGATACAAAATTAATGCCAAGAAATCCACGGCATTTCTATACACCAACAGCGAAACTATAGAAACAGAGATTAAAAAAGCAATTCCATTTACCATCGCACCAAAAAAATTAAGATACCTAGGAATAAATTTAACTAAGGAAGTAAAGGACCTATATGCAGAAAACTACATGTCACTGAAAAAAGAGATAGAGGAAGATGTAAAGAGATGGAAGAATATACCATGTTCATGGATCGGTAGAATCAACATCATCAAAATGTCCATACTTCCTAAAGCAATCTATAGGTTCAATGCACTCCCCATTAAAATACCAACGGCATATTTCACCGACCTAGAAAGAACTCTCCAAAAGTTCATTTGGAACAATAAAAGACCCCGAATAGCCACAGCAATCCTGAGAAAGAAGGGTAAAGTAGGAGGGATCTCAATACCAGACTTCAAACTGTATTACAAAGCCACTGTTCTCAAAACAGCCTGGTACTGGCACAAGAACAGACATATAGATCAATGGAATAGAATCGAGAACCCAGATATCAACCCAAATCACTATGCTCAATTAATATTTGACAAAGGAGGCACGAATATACAATGGAGTCAAGACAGTTTCTTCAATAAATGGTGTTGGGAAAATTGGGCAGACACATGCAAAAGAATGAAACTAGATCACCAACTTACACCATACACAAAAATAAACTCAAAATGGATACAGGACTTAAACATCAGACGGGAAACCATAAAAATACTAGAAGCATCCACGGGCAGCAAAATCTCAGACGTATGCCAAAAGAACTTCTTCACTGATACTGCCCCTAGGGCAATGGAAGCTAAAGAGAAAATAAACAAATGGGACTACATCAAAATAAAAAGTTTTTTTACAGCAAAAGAAACCATCAACAAAACAACAAGAAAGCCCACGGTATGGGAGAATATATTTGCAAATAATACCACGGATAAAGGTTTAATCTCCAACATCTACAGACAGCTGATACAACTAAATAAAAGGAAGATGAATGATCCAATTAAAAAATGGGCAATGGACCTAAATAGAATATTTACAAAAGAAGACAGAAAGAAGGCCAAAAGGCACATGAAAACATGCTCAAAGTCACTAATTATCCGAGAGATGCAAATCAAAACAACAATGCGGTACCATCTCACACCCGTCAGAATGGCCAACATCAACAAATCAACAAACGACAAGTGTTGGCGAGGTTGCGGAGAAAAAGGAACCCTCGTGCACTGCTGGTGGGAATGCAGACTGGTGCAACCACTGTGGAGAACAGTGTGGAGTTTCCTCAAAAAACTGAGAATGGAACTCCCATTTGACCCAGTAATCCCACTTCTAGGAATATATCCCAAGAAACTAGAAACACCAACCAGAAAGGATATATGCACCCCTATGTTCATAGCAGCACAATCTACAATAGCCAGAATCTGGAAACAGCCTAGGTGCCCGTCAGCTGATGATTGGATCAAAAAACTTTGGTACATCTACACAATGGAATACTATGCTGCCATAAAAAAGAAGGAATTCTCATCATTTGCAGCAACCTGGATGGAATTGGAGAACATCATGCTGAGTGAAATAAGCCAATCAATGAAAGAGAAACACCACATGACCCCACTCATTTGTGGATAATAAAGATCATTATAAACTGATGAACCAAAAGATAGATATAGAGACAGTAAAGCAACAAGCAGATTGTCAAATTACAACGGGGAGTGGAGGAGGGTCTGGGGGAGACAATAAATCAACCCAAGGACTTGTATACATGCATATAAGTACAACCAATGGACATAAAACTCTGGGGAGGGAGGGGATACGTGGGAGGGAAGGAGGGGGGCAAAAAAAAATCAATAAAATATGTAAAATAAAAAAAAAATTAAAAAAAAAATACCATAAAAAAAAAATAAATAAAAACCCTGTCCAAATAAAACGTACTGTCAGAAAGATAACCAAAAGGTAGAGCAGATCAGTTTTTGCTCTACTGAAATAAGAAGAGCCTAAAAAACTGGTAGGCTATGGTATTGTGTACTATTTACCATGCCTTTAGAAAAGTCACTCTCTCTTTCCTTCTGTATATCTTCTTTTCTGTTTGTAAAGAAGATGAAACGCATTACAATATAATACTTTAAAATAACAGAATAGTCTAGCAAAATAGGGAACATTATGAAGAATGGGAGCCTGACTTTTTATAACAGTTTTTAAAACGCAAAAATTTACCCCATTGTACTAGATCAGTGATCTGGTAAAAAATACTAACCCTTTATCAATGGGTCTATATGTACATCAAACTCCTAAAGAAGATATTTCCACTGGTAGATCCTTGATCAAATATTTCATGAGTCCTTTCAGACTTATACACAACACATGCAGTTAGTATATTACAGAACAGTAAATGCTCTTGAATTTACAGATTTGAAGATATCTTATGTTGAACCTTTTCATTCCATTAACTGCATCAGCAACTGTTTCTTTTTAAAAATATATTTTATTGATTTTTTACAGAGAGGAAGAGAGAGGGATAGAGAGTTAGAAACATCGATGGGAGAGAAACATCGATCAGCTGCCTCTTGCACAACCCCCTACTGGGGATGTGTCCACAACCAAAGTACATGCCCTTGACTGGAATCAAACCTGGGACCTTTCAGTCCGCAGACCGACGCTCTATTCACTGAGTCAAACCGATTTCAGCAGCAACTGTTTCATTTTCAGAGAGATTTCTATTTTTCAAATCATTGAGTTTTACTCCCTTTTGGTTACCTGACTGGGAGTAAAGTACACAACACCCAAAGAATGGTTTCCAGGCAGGCCTCCTCACTCCTTTCACTGATTCCTTCTTCTAGACTAGCATCATGACACATAAACCTTAAAGTCTTGTCCCAGCAAAATTAAAAATTACTACACTTTATGAACTGTAGATGTAACTAAGGCTCAATCAAATCTTAAATCTAAGAATAGCCGCGGTGTGTTGGGAATTATTTTCCTCACTGTGCAAGTTACATTTTAAACCTGCATGACCCATAGAATTCACCTAACGATATACCTACAGTATTCAATGCCTTCTCCTCCCTTTCCGGTCTCTCGGTTAAATAAACGGATTCCAGTAACAATCATGGCGAGTTCTTTCAGCTGGCGTTCTTTTTCCTTCCTAGAGAGTCTTAGAAATGTCCCAAGTTCAGCCTGAGGAAAAATACTCTGCAGGGCAGCTAAAACAAACCACAAGAAGAACAAGGTGATACAATAAAAACATCAGAACTTAAATCACACGTTCCTTTCAGCTGAAAAGTTAAAGGGCCTGTCTTTGTAGAATTGCTTACATGATTTTTTTTTAAATTTCTGATACTGATTTCAGAAAACATAGCTAAATATATCATATATTAAAGTTGAGCTGGTGAACTTCTGCCATTGCCTCATATCTGTTTTTAGTAAGTATCACCAGTCATTTTGGCAATGGGGATTAAAACAAGCTTTCTAATGAGAGCTACAGTGTAGAAGGAGTCCGGGTATGTTTTAACCTCTTACTGGTGCTAATTTTGTTTTCAGGTAAAAGGGAATCTTCAATCTTCAACACTTGTAATTGAACTCATTTTATAAGATACAGCATTCAGATATTTTCACTTATAAAATGGAAATTGTGCTGCTGTGTTTTTTTGTGTGTTTTTTTACCTGTTGCCTCTCTGACAATCTTGAGATCTGTAGGGGATCCGACCCCAGAGCGCAGTAATACGTAGCTGACAATCTTTCGGTAGAGGCTTTCCAGTTCTTCTCGGGAACACGCTCTGTTATCTGTAATTTCTCTGCTGATTAAGCCTAATTTAGACTCCACGATCCGGTGATGTTCTTCAATAAACTCCTCTGAAAGTGGCAAAAGATAATGTTTCATACATTTGATACTTATAATTCTTCTCACATGAGAAAGTAGGACTCAGAAAAAGAAAACGGCTTGGGTATAGCAATTCTACTGCATGAAAACAACAATTTTCATCAGATGTCGTAATAAACAGAGGCCAGCAATTAACCTCAAGGAAAAAAATCTAGTGGGAAAGATTTAACACAGCAATTTAAATTGCATACTTGTCCAAATACATAAGTCTTTAAATGGAATATCCAAACAGTAATATCAGAGGGCTAAGACCTTCCAATTAAGCAGAAACTGTACAAGACAATTTATAATATATACATTATAAACATCTAGTATAAATATTTGTATTATATGAACTTAGGACCCTTCATTCCTCAGGCCAAAGCTCTAGCCACTGAGCCAAAACAGCTAGGGCAAGCAATCCTATTCTTAAAGACTTGATTTTTGGCATAAACAAGTGGATTTGAATCATATCAAACCACTATACACTTTTTTTAAATGCAAAAATTTACCCCAATGTCTCATTTCTACTAATGCAATTCTACCTTAAAGCTTATGTTATATAATCTATACTAATAAAAGGGTAATATGCTAATTAGACCAACATCTTCTGGACATCCATCCGGATGTTCTTCTGGACAAAGCCACGGTAGCAGGGGCTGAGGCAGAAGTGGTTAGGGGCAACCAGGCTTGCAGGGGAGGGCAATTAGGGGTGAACAGGATGGCTGGGGAGGCAGTTAGGGGTGATCAGGCTGGCAGGGGAACAGTTAGGAGCAATCAGGCCAGCAGATAGAGGTGGTTAGGGGCTATCAGGTAGGCATGCAGGTGAGCAGTTAGTCCCGGATTGCAAGAGGCAAACATCCCCTGAGAGGCCCCGGATTGGAAAGGGTGCAGGCTGGGTTGAGGAACACACCTCTCTGTGCACGAATTTCATGCACCAGTCCTCAAGTATATAGATAATAGACATGTAGTATAAATATTTGTACTATACACATGCTTTATGTAAGCACATACAGTATACACATAGATGTGTAGGTATTTATGTTCAATTGTGTGTATTTGTATTTCAGTTCTAGATAAATTTCCTTTGACAATTAGCATTACTGATAATATAATGTTGCCTCAAAAACAGTATCTCTCTCCCTTCTTCCTATGATTTGAAGAGGTCTATGCTTAATTGTAGCAGTAGCCACAATTTACCAGCAGCACAATTCTTGCAACTAACTCAACAAAAACACTTCACTTTATCATAATTACTATATTAACTATGCACAGTTCATACCTATAATCTTTTTATAATAACAACAGAACTTTTTGCAATTAAAAAATTGAAATGATGGCATCAACTGCTTACAATTTTCAAAGTCCAGAGTGCTAACGTTACACTACACAATGGGGCCTCTCTGCTTACAATTTTCATTATTATTAAGCAAAAAAGCAAGATATATGATTTTACATATGAAGCATAAATGAAAATTCAATACATAGAAGGAAAAAAAAGAAAATGCAAATTAACCAACGGTTAATAATGACTGCATTATAGTGGGTCAGAGGCAGTATAGACTATAGGAGAATTTGCTTTCTTTTATCTCATTTCCAGTTTTTCTTTGATGTAGCATTAAACTATTTACATAAGAAAATATGTCCTAAACTTAAATTTACATTCATTTCATTTTTGTTTTAGGTACATAATTTAGATAAGCACTATGAGATAATATAAACCAGGAACACAAAAAATCAGCAAACTAAAAACTTTTAACTTTAATGGACTGGTTGTTTTGATTTCTATTTATTATGTATCAAAGGTATAACAGTTAAAACACAATAGATTTGCCCTGGCCCGGTAGCTCAGTTGGTTAGAGCTCTGTCTGGATGTGCCAAGGTTGCAGGATACCTGGGGTTAGGGTACATATAAGAATCTACCAATGAATGTATACATAAGTGTAGCAACAAATCGATGTTTCTTTCTCTCTCTCTCCTCTCTCTCTCTGTCTCTCTCTCTCAACACAATAGATTTGGAAACACAATTATTATGGGTATAATAATTAGAATTTACTTTTAAAACATATATATTTTATTGAATTTTTACAGAGAGGAAGGGAGTGAGATAGAGAGTTAGTAACATCGATCAGCTGCCTCCTGCACACCCCATACTGGAGATGTGCCTGCAACCAAGGTATATGCCCTTGACCAGAATCAAACCTGGGACCCTGGGACCATTCAGTCCACAGGCCGAGGCTCTATCCACTGAGCCAAAATGGTTAAGGCTAGAATATACGTTTAACACTCTGAAAGGCCATTTGTGTTTTTCTCCTTTAGCATTTCCAACATTATTATACTACTAGAGACCTGGTGTACAACATTCGTGCAGGGCGGGGGGAGTCCCTCAGCCTGCCCTATGTCCTCTCTCAGTCCAGGATGTGGGGAGTGGGCCTTAGCTGGCAGGTGGACATCCCCCAAGGGGTCCTTAGAGCTGCCAGCAGAGGCGGGAGAGGCTCCCGCAACCGCAGCTGTGCTCAGCTCCTGTGAGCCTGGCTTCTGGCTGAGCGGCACTCCCCTCTGGAGCGCACTGACCACCAGGGGCAGCTCCTGTATTGAGATCTACCCCCTGGTGGTCAGTGTGCATCATAGTGACCAGTTGTTCCGTCGTTCAGCCGATTTGCATTCTAGTCTTTTATTATATAGGATTCTTCAAAATTGGCACAAATTTCAAAAGATAGGCCAAAAAATTAAATTTTTCATTGTCAACCAAATAAAGCCCTTATTACCTTAAATACAATATAAAACTTTCTAAAAAGCATATCAAAATAGATGTGTTTACCTCGATGTGTATAATTCATATCAAAGTAGACTTGCATCTTAATGGTGTCCAGGGATGGATTTCTACTGTCCATTAGACGATGCACGCAAATCTAGAAAAGAATACCCCATGAATGCTTCTAGGTAGAGTTTCTAAAGTGATCCAAAGTACTTTCTAAACCTATTTTTAAAAAACAAGGAAAACATAGTTTCTGACCTTTTTAGCTAAGATTAAAGGAAACATCAAAGTAATAGTTTTTGATACTTATCTACCAATAACTCCTCTTACTATTCTTTCTTTTTGAGGTCTTCATGCTTTATTATTCACCGATCCAAGAGCACTTATTAAGTAATAAGTTATTTCCCCTAAGTTAACCAGTATTGTTGTGGGTGACCCACGAATGACGACCGCCAGTCAGCCAATCTAGAATTTAGGAAGCCTTTATTACGAACTCGAGTCTGGGCTCCCGTCTCAACTGACAGCAGCGAGCAACGAGAGCCCCGACCCACTCCAAGCATGCTACTTCCATCCCCGTCCTAGGGATGCCTGGCAGACCATGACTGGCCAAAGCTTCAACAAAGAAACGTCAGCCACAAGCCATAGAAAAATTCCACTAGTACAGTAACATTTAAAGTTTATACAACACCTGGGGTGGGGGGTTATTTTCAGCTTAAGCAGTCTCTGTTTCACCTGGTTTGGTCTGTTTGTCCTGCCTTGCGGCTACTGGTAATAGGACGTGCCTGCCTTGGGGTTGAGCCTTGCAGCAGAACTATTTTATGACTAACAGTTACGCTTGGCTAAAGCGTATCATGCTACGTACTCTATAACTTATAACTGACGTCTCCCTGTCAAAACCTTCAGCCAATCATAATCTGCCAGGCATCCCCAAGACGGGGACAAAAGTAGCATGCTTAGAGTTGCTTGTTCCTTCCCTGGCCTGGAGTCCCGCTTCGACAGGATGTTGCTAGCCATCTGGAGCTCTGCCTCCACTGGGTCTTGCCGGCCACAACAGTATCACCATACCCAGGTAGGTGAATAGTCTAGTTAAAGACAAGAAACTTGACATTTTGGTTAGTCTATACAGTGCGAATGTGGGTAAATGGTCCGTGAAGCTCATGAATCGTGTCCAGAGCTTGTCTCAAACTCCTCATCCCTACTTAACTGAGCCTTTAAACAACACTCGCTTGCTGATGCTGGAGGTCATATGCATTTTATAAAACTCTGCTGCAGCTACCCTCCTCTGCTCACAAAATTCTTCTGGCTCTGCCTTTCATTTCAAAATGTCTTCCTCTGCTGTGTTTTGTCCTTTCTCCCTCCCCCCACCCCTTCCCTGCTTTGCCCCTTTAGATTACATGATCAATCTGAGCTTTTGCCTCCTGTCTTCCCCTCCCCTCCCCTCTCCACCGTCCCCCTCCCTTTCCTGTCTCGCTCTTTCACTCTTTAGGCTTTATCTGCAGCTGGCTGGCATGTCTGCAGCATCACCTGCCCCCACCTCCTTAGCACCAGCCCTGCCTTCCCAGGAGGAGGAAGGGAAGAATCAAGACGTCAGGACACTGTCTTTATGGAACTTGTGCACCTGGGACCCTCCAAGTGGAGGAGGACGGTTCTAAACACAGAATTTACGAAGTCTACCTCATCCGGGTCATTTGTTTTTACATTTTTTTTAATTTTAATTTTTTTCAATTCTGATTTAATATTACTATCCAAGTAATTTTTAATTGAAAAAATAAAACTTTGTCATGTTAATTGTGAAATGCATTGATAGTTAATATACCTGTCAATATACCTGTCACACTAAGAGTATACTGAACTTGATTCTCTCCAACTTAGTTGAATCAGAAGAAAAAAGAAAAATTCTTCTTGAGCCAAGAAAAGAAGAAAAATATGCCCGCCCCTCCTTGATTCTCCTCCACGGCTTTCCAACAGAATTTCTCACTGACCGTCAGTCACTGCCCCTATTGCTAAGAATGGGTTCCACACCACGTTTAAAATCAGCACCGAGAGACCCCGCTCCAGGCTGCCCTGCAGAACCATGGAGTCTGCACTTCCTGCACGACCCCCCTAACAACATTCCCCCAGATCAGCTTCCCAGTGCTCTTTCTGACCCTTAGCCTCTGCACATGGACCTTGGCTCCGCTGTGTGAACTGCTGGCTTTGAGAGAAGAGGGGGATGGTGAACACTTTCTTTGCCATTTGTTTGAACCCAGAAAATATCCATATACAAGTTGGTGAAAGCTTGCTTCAAGTCTTCCGTGTAAAGAAGGGAATTAAAATCATTAAGCCCAGAATATATGTTTTAAGTGTTGGATTTTTAGGAAATACATTTAAGAATATTTAGAAAATAAGTATTTAAGCACTTAAATCCAATGAGTCAAAATTAAAAGATAGGAAAAAAATTAGTGATGTTCTTTAGTTCTTAAAAATGGTTTTCAGTCCTGCCAGCAGAGCACACTGGTTGAGCATTGGCCTATGAACCAGGAGGTAACGGTTCAATACCTGGTCGTGGCACATGTTTAATCCCCAGTGTGGGGTGTGCAGGAGGAAACCGGTCAATAATTCCCTCTTATCCTTGATGTTTCTCTCTCTCTCTCTCCCTCTCTGAAATCAATAAAAATTATTTTTTTAAATGGTTTTCAGGTATGTCTACTTGATTTCTAATTATGAGTTACTTTTGCTTCAATTTTTTTTTCCTTTAGAATTGAAAAACACCAATTACACTGAATCAATAAATATATGATAGACCTTGCCAGTTAAGCTCAATGCATAGAATGTCGGCCTGTGGACTAGACGGTCCCGGGTTTGATTCCAGTCAAGGGCTCCATTCTGGTCAAGGACACATCCATCGGCTGCAGGCTTGATCCCTGGCCCTGGGCAGGGCACATGCATGAGGCAACCAATCAATTCTCTCTCACCCTGATGCTGTCTCTGTTCTCCATCCTTCCCTCCTTCCACTCTCTCCAAACACCAATGGAAAAATATCCTCGGGTGAGAACTACCAAAAATAATTACATGAGAGCTCATGAACATGGACCACAATGTGATGATTGGGAGTGGAAGGACAGTAAGTGATGGTAGAGGAGGGTACAGGGGGGATGAATGGTGATAGAAAAAATGAAATAAAGAAAATCTAATTATATGAATTTTTATTTAGTACTATGCAATTTTACAGTATATGGCAAGTCATTTAATAATGTTCTGAATGTAACATTAGATTAATAACAAGATGTCTCTAAAATACTGTGGCAGACATTCTACCAGCCAGTATCCATACCTCTTTTTTCTTTTCTTTTTTCTACTAACAAAGCCTCAGTTTGGATTGGGGCAAAGATTTGTTCAATTGAAAAAGAGAAAGGAAATCAAGTTTTCAGGCTGACTTGCAGTATTCTGGTCAAGTAGCATGGGAGGGGTCCTGGGAAAGCTGTTATTTTCCTCAATAGAAAGTGAGAAACCCAATTGGCACACACATTTTGCTCTTTGTCTCCCCCCCTTAGACCTGCCTTAGGGTGGAATAGCTATCTTGTGACCCTGGGATATGATCCATATGCATGATGGTGACCCAGGAAGCCAGGAATAACAGCCTATGTACCTTTGGACTCTGTTTTATGAGAAAAAACAAGTCTCTTATTTGTTCACACCGTCATTTGGTGGGGTTTTGCTTCATGGAGATGAAGTCAATAATGGCTAACACTCATACCATGTTTATTTATAATGGCAAATAAGTATTTCAAAGTTTGAGAACGGTTGGGTAATCACCTTAACAAGTTTCTCCACGTCACTTTTCAAGAGGAGTCTATCCATGTTAAAGCCATTACTGGGATCCAGGACGACAGCTTTCACCTGAGAGTAAGAGAGAGCCCATTAAATAATTCCATTCCATATTATTGTAAAATTGGCTTAATGTTTCCACTTTTTAAGCAACTGCCTCTTGATGACTCAGGTGTTGATGATTCAGCTGACTTTCTTATTACCCAGCTCTTCAGCACCTTCATCAGAGGTCGAAGAAAGGAAGTACTAAATATCAAATCTGAATGTGGTGTTAGAAAAATTATATGGAGAAATAGTCTAAAAGCAATGGCTAGATGTTAGATTGGGAAACTATTTGAATATTTTACTGTGTTTTTATTGTGTATTGTTAAACCAAAAGCTAACACAGAAACCAAGGTAACAAGTAATGTTTACAAGTGAACAAAAACATGTTATAAAATCTCTAAGCCCAACTGGTGTGGGTCAATGGTTGAGCATCAATGTATGAACCAAGAGATCATGGTTCCATTCCCAGTCAGGACACATGCCAGGTTGTGGGCTCAATCCCCCGTGTGGTGCATGCAGGAGGCAGTAATCAATGATTCTCAGCATTGATGTTTCAATCTCTCTCTCCCTCTCCCTTCCTCTCTGAAATCAGTAAAACATATATTAAATAAATAAAAACTCTGACACTACTGATGTTTCTAAAACTCACCAAGATCTTTTAAATCAGTCCCTATAATTCTAGAACTGACATGCTTTATAGACTTCTTAAAAAAGTATTTTTTTGCTAATTTGTCCGATAATCTCAATACGTTTTCAACTGAATAACATTTAGGAAAGTTTCACAGAAGTTTGAGAGGAAAATAGGTGCCACTTAAAAACATTTTAAAAATAAAGCAGTAATTAACAGAAATATTCATTCTTACCATAAAAGCAATCAGAGTTTCAGAGGTCACCTCTCCACGGGTTGCACATTCTTGTCCTATTTCTCGAATGATATTCTTTATAACACTTTCTGCCTGAGTGGGAGGCATTCTGGCTAAATAAAACAATAATTTACTTTTTTTGAATTTGTATTTATATATTGTTTCTTGTTTAGATTTCTCTTTGCATTTCTCTTTGTAGAGTCATAATATTACTTATCAACTTATACGTATTTATTAGCATGTAGGCCTCTCCTGTTTTGCATTAATTTGTTTTATATTTACAAAAATGAAGAACTTTGCTGATGACAGAGAAACTGGGACATCAAACAACTGAAACATTTCCTTTTTATTTAAATAATGGTGGTCACCAAAATGAATTTATATCATAAATTTATATCCTATTTTTAATTTCTTAAAAAGGCTAAACAACATGGGGGGGGGGGGTGTTTAGAATGGGAAACCTCACCCCAACCCGCGTAGGTGGCGGAGTTCAGCTTTAAAGGGAAAATGCGTGTTCCACCACATTCAACAAATGACCCTTTCTAATTATAAGACACTTGGAAAGCCGTTCTTGCTCCGATCATCTAAATTGTCTTTTCTGCACCTCCACATTGGAGTTTAGTCTCTTCATTAAAAACATTAAAAACCAACATTCAAAACATATTCTGAGAGTTACGCATCAGGGAGAAAAATGAACTCCTAGTTATCACGTCCATTGGCTGTAAACCAGGAAAAGTTGGTACAGGGTGCCCGCATGTTCCTGAGCATCAGTGGCGGAGCCTGGGGAACTGAGCACGTAAAGCACAAGGAAGGCGAGCCCGGGTGGATGGAGCTAGCTCTCCGCATCCTCAGCCTTCAGGGCAAAGCCTATTCCTAAGAGGTCGCACTTGGCATTGTGTCCAGTACAACCAGACCACCTGGGACCCCTCCTGACAGGGGAGATTTTTGGTGGTTAAAATAGTGCCTGGCATAAGGTAAGCGCTTAAAATAGCTTGTAAGTCAAAACCAGTTTGGCTCAGTGGACAGAGCATCGGCCTGCGGACTGAGGGGTCCCGGGTTCCATTCTGGCCAAGGGCATGTACCTTGGTTGCGGGCACATCCCCAGTAGGGGGCGTGCAGGAGGCAGCTGATGATGAGTCTCATCGATGTATCCAACTCTCTATCCTTCTCTCTTCCTCTCTGTAAAAAAAAAAAAAAAAAAAAAAAAAAAAAAAAAAAAAAAAAAAAAAAAAAAAAATCAATAAAATATATTTTTAAAAAGAAATAGCTTGTAACAAGTATTCATTGTCCCCCGCTCCCGGCGCTGGAGTCTGTGCGCCTGCGCAAGCGCGGGTCGGCTCAGTGCTCCCGGTCGCTACGGACGCCTCTCCGGACCCTGCCCGCCCCACTGTCTGAAGCACCGACTTCCCCGAGTTCTGGCCCCTGGGGGTGCCCGCGGCGCTGGGCAGACAGGAAGACGAGTTAAAACCTAACCTGCGGACGGAGAGGGCCGCGGGATCCGCTCGGCGGAGGCCCGGTTTTGGGAGACAGACATTTTCAGTCAGACTCCGCGGGCTGCGCTGGTCCGCCTGGGCCGGGCTCTGTCCGCCGCCTACGCTCGCCTCTGCACCGGGCGCATCTCAAGGGCCCGGAGCCCCGAGGGGGCCGACCTTGGCCGGAATCAGCCGGAGCCGAGTGTATCCGACTCCTTTCTGGAGCCTCTGAGGCAGCTGGGCGCTCTTCGCACCGGACGCGTAACCATGGAGACTTAACGCTAGAAACCGCGTGGGCGGGGCCGCCGCGTGGGCGGGGCCGCCGCGTGGGCGGGGCCGCCGCGTGGGCGGGGCCGCCGCGTGGGCGGGGCCGCCGCGTGGGCGGGGCCGCCGCGTGGTTTTTAGAAACAAAAAAAAACCCCACAAATGCTCAGATCCCAGTCAGAAAAAGCCAGGTTCATTACCCCTCAGGGTTAAGGGGTGTTAAACACAAAACTTCTTAAACAAGGGTATCAACTTGCTAGCGTGGGAACCTGTAGGCGTTTTTAAAAAGGAGGGTCCTGGAGAGGCGGGAGCCTGTTCGCAGAGGATGGGAAAACCGAAGCGTGGTAGTGAAATGAGTCCAAGTGAAAGTAGTTTTAAAAAACAAAGGGAAAAAGGACGCAGTTTAATTTCAAGTCCTGTTGTCAAAGGAAGTTCCTAAGAGAATGATCCGAGATGCCAGAAGAGAAAAACGCATATTCGAAGGATGTCTACGGAGTGAGCAGGGGCCTTCTGGCAGGTGGGGTCCCTCCGCCTGGCCTGGCGGAAACCAGCTCTCCCCCGCAGGGATCCCTCTCTAGTTCCAGAGTGTGTCACCCAACAACCCTGCTGCAAATCATGGCAGCTCCTGCTTTAAGCATCTGCCCCCTGGTGGTCAGTGCGTGTCATACCTACAGGGCAGTCAGAAGGTCGCTTAGCCTTTTATCCTATATAATAAAAGGTTAATATGCAAATCGACTGAACGGCAGAACACTGGTCGCTATAACGTGCACTGACCACCAGGGAACAGACACTCAATGCAGGAGCTGCCTCCTGGTAGTCGGTGCGCTCCCACAGGGTGAATGCCACTCAGACACAAGCTGGGTTCACAGCTGGCAAGCACAGTGGTGGTGGCAGGAGCCTTCCCACTTCCACAGCAGTGCTAACGGAACGGGCCTAAACCATCAGTTGGACATCCCCCAAGGGCTCCAGGATTGCAAGAGGGTGCAGGCCAGGTTGAGAGACAACCCCCCCTCCAAGTGCACAAACTTTGTGCACCAGGCCTCTAGTGTGTGTGTGTGTGTGTGTGTGTGTGTGTGTGTGTGTGTGTATTATAAAATAATGGAGAGAGGGGGCTAACTATATGTAGAGAATGAGCCCAGTATAGAAATTGATGATGAGAGAATCATCAGTCAGCTGCCTCCTGCACACCCCTACCAGGGATTGAGCCCAGGCATGTGCCCTGACCAGGAATTGAACCATGCCCACCTGGTTCCTGCATCGATGCTCAACCACTGAGCCACTCAGGCTGAAGGGCAGTGTTATAGACCGTTTGTGGGTGACCCCCTAGCCTCATTCATATGCTGACATTAGGAGGTGGAGCATGTGGGAGGTGATTAGCGGAGGTCATGAGGGTGGAGACTCCATGATAGAACTAGTGCCTCATAATAAGAGACACCAGAGAGCTTCCTTCCATCTCCCACCTCCAGCCCACCTCCCTCCCCATCTCCCACCCCCTGCCATGTGAGGACACAGTGAGAAGGTGGCCATCTGCAAGCCAGGAGGACATCTCTCACCAGACCTGACCCTGCTGCCACCTTGACTGCAGACACCCCAGCCTCTGGAATGGCGAGAAACAATGCCTGTTGTGTACGCCTCCCTCTGTGGTGTTATAGCAGCCTGAGCAACTGACACAGGAAGCAATGGGGTGGGGTCTTTCACAGCTAAGCTACAAGGTTGTCTTATATATGGCTAGCAGGTGCTGGGTGCATTTTTGTGGGCTGTACAAAGCAGGCAGGCTCTCGATGGTTAAAAAATAAGTCTAGGTGGGCTATATTTAAGGCAATTGGGTATGGAAGCTTTTGGATTTGGCACTGGCAAGCTTTGAGCTAACAGTCTTAACACAGTATCATAAAGAAATGAAGAACCGAGGGGCCAATACACAGGGGCCTTCTTGAACCCACTGTCTAACACCGAGATCCTCCTAAAGAAGAATCAGGCCAGGGCACTGCTTACCAGACATATAGCCAGCCTTATTGGACAGCAGTTTGATTAAAACAGTGTAGTATTGGTTCCACCTAGCCACCCCTCCCTTTCACTTCCCCAACGGGGTCCTTTCTCTCCCCTCTCCCCAAACAGGCCAATAGCATAGCATAGGGAATCTAACCATGGGTCCACTTATTTAAGAACATTTGATCATTGGGAGATCTGGCATTGCACAACCGTGGTAAACGTAAGGTTGTCATTAAATGATGCTGGGACAAGTGATCATTCGTTCGTTTAAAAAAAAGAGGACACAGATATTGCATATCTAGACACCTTTCCTGAAGAAATTACATGCAATACAGTTTTTATACTCAAAGGTATTTGTCCCAATGTTATTTAAAATGGTGAAAACTTTAAAAGATGCTATACTAATAGCTGGAATGCTTCAGTAAATTATGGCATAGCACTCAGCTGCAGATTATACAGCTACTGGATATAATTATACAGCTACTGGCCGGCGTGATCCAATAGGTTGGAGCATCGTCTGGTACACCACATATACTGCAGGGTTGATTCCAGGTCAGGGGATAATGCCTAGACTGTGGGTTTGATTCCTGGTCAGGATATGTATTGGAGGCAACTGATTGATGTTTCCATTTAAAATTGTAATTTTTTCCTGAAATCACCCTAACCTTTCAGGGGGGAAAACAACAACATTGAAGACATTTAAAATGAATCCCTCTTTTTTCATTTTACCCACTTCAAGGGCTGGGGGTTTCACAAAACATTACCTGATTTCTTTCATAATACATGAAAGAGCAGGACCTGTGTTTAATGCAGTAAAAGTTTCAATTTCCTACCCTAATTTAGGTTGAAATGGTGGCCTTGCCCAGAAAATACCAGCTCCTCACCTTGTAGCCCAGGTGCAGGCAGGAGCACCTCCTGCCTGGGACAGGCCCTGGGGAGCCCTCTGGTGGCCACTGCCAGCCCCGCGCTGGCCTCAGCGGGCACCGCTCCCCTTTAACACCTGGGCTCACTGGCTTGCTTTTAAAACCCAAGCTGTACTGACGCAAGAATGGAACACCTAAGCCAGAATTTGTCAACGTCCAGGGCAATAAAACAAAGAGAGAGCAAAACAAAGAGCCCCACGATGTGGTTACAAGATGTGGCCTGCGCTCCAAGGCCGGACAACACGGTGACTCCGGATCTTCCTTCCTGCGGAGGCTCCGTTCCTGCGTTCACCACCCCAGGGAGAGATGGGGGCGGGGTGGGGGGAGGACGGGGACTCCCCTGCGGTGTGAGGCAGAATTCTGAATTCTGCGGCCTGCCTGGGGGGGCTGCCTCTTCCGCAGACGCTGACACTGGACAGGAGCCACTCCCTCCAGGAATGAGACCTGTTCTGAAGGCTCA